GGCCAGCTTTTGGATGTCAAGGGCTCCTCTTCTTTCTCAAATGTTCATTTTGAGATGATCCCTGCTTTCCAACTGGGGTTTGGCAGTCCAGTATCTAAATATTTAGACCCTCCCTGTACTCTGACCCAGTCACACCCATGTGTCAAACCAGCCGTGCAGGGGGACGTCATCACTGGCTTAGCCTGCATGTGTCTGTGTGTGGTTTCTGCGTACGTGTGTCTGTGCCCGCCAGAAATTCCCCGATAAGATGGGAAAGAAGCCAGAGGCAGGCTTACTTCTTCTCTGAGCCCGTAGGACTTCCCCTCTGCCGGGACAGCAAGGCTCTGGAATTAAGCCTCAGGTAGCAGGGTACTGGGCTTTAGGTGGGGTCAGGGAAGGAGGGACAGAAGGGATATTGCAGCAGCCAAACTTGAGAGGAGCGGGAAAGGGAAGGGGTAGCAGTGGAAGGGTAGAGTTCCTCTGTATAAATGGGTCTCTAGAGGAGCTGCTGGTTTTCCTTCAAGGAAGCAGCCTGTAGTAGGTCACTGTGCAGCCCCACCCCCACCCCTTTCTGTTGTCAGCCTCCTGTCTCCAAAACAGTCCTTGTTGATTAGAACAAAAAAGTCACATATGTTGACCTCATCCTTCTCTCAGAGGCTTAATCTGACGCATTTTCAATAAAACAAACCTCCTTCCCTCAGTTCCATCTCTCCAACTTTAAAGGCATAAGGATATCTCTTGCAGTACCTTAGATGTAGCCAGGCCAAGGCTAGTGCCATCACTATCCAGTGCCAAGGTACCATTTGACACCACTTGTAAAATGGCAAAGAAAGGCAGGGTTGAAGAGAGTGGGCTTCAAATGCTTGATATTTTGGCAAAGCCTTGACCCTTCTTCCCAGGGTGTGACTAGCCCTGTCCTATACTGTGGTGTGGCCCAGCTAATCACAGAGCTGCTATGGAGGGCCAAACCTCAACTGGCACTGCCTGTACAGTCAGAAATCAGACCCAGTGATCTTCCATGGCCAGGCAGGTTAAATGTATCCTGGGTAAGTGGCAAGTTGTAGCAGTGGCGATGTGATGGGGCTCTGAGCATCCTCACATAAACAAACAGAATTATACAGATCAGAAGCTATACGACAGAAGCTCACTTTTACAGTGAACACTATTGTCTACCATCACTCTGCCAGGGTATGAGGGATATGGCATGCCGTCCCCATCCTGATAGAAAAAAATGAAACAAAACACTTTTCACTTTGGGATAGCTTCCAACTAATTTAGAATGACTCAAAGAACAATACATACGGTAGTGTAGTGGTATCATGAGATTCCATTTCTCCTCAAAACAAACAAAATTTTAAAAAGAGAGATGTTTACCCTGATTTGGACATTATACATAAAAACACATAATCAAAAATGTCACATGGTATCCCATGTATATGTACAATTTTTTTTTGTGGGTCATGGGACTTGAACTCTGGGCCTGGGCGCTGTCCCTCAGCTCTTCAGCTAAGGCAAGCGCTCTACCACTTGAGCTACAGCGCCACTTCTGGTTTTCTAGTGGTTTATTGGAGATAGGAATCCCACGGTCTTTCCTGCCCGGGCTGACTTTGAACCATGATCCTCAGCTCTCAGCTTCCTGAGTAGCTAGGATTACAGGCGTGAGCCGCCAGTGCCTGGCTAAATGTACAATCTTTATGCTTGATGTGTATTTTTAAATAAAAAAATAAAAACTACAATTAGACTATATTCTCTCTTATATGGAAGCTAAAGAAAAAAAATCAACCCAAAATAGAATAGTGATTACTAACAGCTGGGAAGGATGAGTGGGAGTAGCGAAATGGAGGTCATATTGATATTCTAAGCTGTATGTGTGGACGGAAATATCACACAGAACCCCAATATGTACAATTAATACATGTTAAAAACACTAAAAAAACAAAGTTGTAGCTGGTGGCTCACGCCTGGAATCCTAGCTACTCAGGAGGGTGAGATAAAGATCACAGTTCCAAGTCAGCCGGTTGAAGAAAGTCTGTGAGACTATTATCTGCAGTTAACCACCAGAAAACCGGAAGTGGCTCTGTGGCTCAAGTGGTAGAGTGTTTGCCTTGAGCTAAAAAGCTCAGGGACAGCGCCCAGGCCCAGAGTTCAAGATCTATGATTGACAAAACAAACAGAACTGGGACTGTGGATCAAAATGAGAGCACCAGCCTTGAGCAAAAGAGCTCAAGGACAGCACCCAGGTCCTAAGTTCAAGCCCCACAACTGTCAAAAATAAAGCAATCAATAAAAAGCACTTAAGTTCAAAGATATTAAGTGCAACTGGAGGTCAGAGAATATAGAAATCAAGTCTGGACACTAGTCCAATGAATACCATGCCAAGGCAAGAGCTGATTTGACCTTGAAAGGTAAAGGTAAAAGGGGTTTGGGCATTACACGGTGGCAACAAATCAGATGTGTGTGTGTGTGTGTGTGTGTGTGTGTGTGTGTGTGATGTATGCATACTAAGCATCATGGGAGTTGGGCACCAGTAGTTTCATGTCTGTAATCCTTGCTATTCAGAAGACTGTGATCTGAGGATCAAATGTGGACCCAACCTGGGCAAAAAAGTCCATTAGACTCCTACTTCCAATTAGCCACTAATAAAAGCCAGAAGTAGAGTTGTGGCTCAGATGGTAGAGTGCTACCCTTGAGCAAAAAAAGGTAAGGGACAATATCCAGGCCCTGAGTTCAAGTCCTAATACTGGAACAAAGAAAACAAAATCATGGGAAAGGTCAGACATGCCAGGTACACTGAGCTCATGGAGGACTATGGGACACTTTGAATTCAATGTGCTGGTGAGGGGCGGTCATTGTACCTTCTGAAACAGCCCAATCTAGGATTTGGGAAGTGATGTAGCAGCAGTGGTTGACTAAGGATGGACACTGTAGTTATTTTTCTATTCTTGGTGTGTCCACATTATTTTGTATGTCTTTCTGTGGTGCCTCCACAGCACTTTGTCTTTCTATGGACACATCCTATTTTTTTGTGCCAGGCTTAGGACTTCAACCTAGTGCCTGGGGGCTGTCCCTGAGCTACTGCTTGACCCACAGCTCAACTTCTGGCTTTTTTTTTGATTAGCTGGAGATAAGGGTCTCAGGGACTTTCCTTCCCAGATTGGCTTTCAACTGTGATCCTCAGATCTGTCTCCTATGGAGCTAGGATTACAGGCACAAGCCACCAGTGCCTGGCAACACAACATACTTTAATTTCTGCATCCATATGCCTACATTCCTCACTTATATCCAGAGTTCCTTAAAAGGAATGCCCATGTTTTACACATGCACCATTTATGATATGTACCTGGCTCTTAGTAGGCGATGAACAGTAACTAGATGAATCAGTTAATTAAAATCAACTGAATTACAATCACATAACACATAAAGATAATAGCTGTTACAGTATTAGACTAAATTACATATACCATTAAAATAAGACAAATGGTAATTATGTTTCTTTTTTTGTGTGTACTAGGGCTTGAACTCAGGGCTTTTTACTCAGGGCTACTGCTCTACCACTGGAGCCACAGCTCTACTTCTGGCTTTTTTGGTGATTAACTGGAGCTAGGAGTCACATGGACTTTGCCCAGGCTGTCTCTGAATTGTGATCCTCAGATCTCAGCCTTGTGAGTAGCTAGGATGACAGGTGTGAGACACTTGTGTCTGGCTTACAATTGGATCCTTTAAAAATGATTTTTTTGACGCACACTCAGGGAGTAGGAGTATCTTACCCTTACCTTTGTAAGCAGCAATTATAGCTGCATAGTAATTCCCATCTCATAGTGAAAGGTTAGAGTTTGAGGCAGTGACCACTTGTTGCTTGTTTCTGTCTAGCAAAGCAACACGTGGTGGTAATCCAAACACCTGGTTGATTGTGTGCCTTTATAAGACCTGCAAATGCTTAGCCCAGGGCTCTCCTCCTAGGCTCCGCTGTGTCGGAGTATAGGACGAGGCCCGAGCTGCAGCCCGTTTAAATAAAACAGCTGTAGAGTCTGACTCTCAGTGGTCTTCTTGTGGGGGGGGGTCCTGCGACCAGGATGCTCATGTCTGTAATCCTAGCTAGCTTCAAATTTGAAATTCTCCTGTTTCCATTTCCCAAATGCTGAGATTACAGGTATACACTACCAAGCCAGACTTTTTTGTTGTTGGTGGTGAAGCTTGAACTCTGGGCCTGGGCGAGGTCACTGCACTTTTCAGCCTAAGACAAGTGCTCTATCACTTGAGCCACAGCACCACTTCTGGTCTTCTGGTGGTGAACTGGAGATAAGAGTCTCACAGACTTTCCTGCCAGGGCTGGCTTTGAATCGAGATCCTCAGATCTCAGCCTCCTGAGTAGCTAGGATTACAGGCCTGAGCGACCAGTGGCTGGCCATGCCAGACTTCTAAACCCTTCATTCTATCTGTAGTACATATCCTCTGCTACCACTCCTATAGGAATAATTCAGTTTGAGGGCAGGAAGTATTTCAAGAAAAGCTGAGTTCATTTTGCATGTTTATATACTCATTCAACAACGGTTTATTTATGAACCACCTACTATGAGTGATAGCCTATACCTCTGGAGATATAATCATGAACAAGACCTTAAATCCATGGTCTGTCTTTCAGGACCCATGGGCTACAGGAAATGCATAAACAGGACTGGGCTTGGAAGACTAGGAAAGTCTTAAAGCCCTTTTTTTTTTTTAAGGTATTGGGGTTTGAACTCAGGGACTCATGTTTGCTAGGTAAGCACTCTGCTGTTTGGGCCATGTACCCCAGGCTTGGAAAAATGTTCACAGAGGTAGCAATCTTCCCTAGAGGAGAGGTCAGGTGCATGGACAAGGTGTGAAGGGGCAAGAGTTCAGAGAGTGGAATGCAGTTCAGAGTATGGAGTAGGAAATTTTTATGACTGAGAAAAATTCTCTTGTAGTGCTGCAATTCTTGCTGTCTGCTATCTATGCACAGCTTTCTTCTTCACTCTTGCCTACCTTAAAAGAGAACAGAATTTAGAAGAATCAGATTTTATTTTGTGATGTGAACATTAGGAATTTGCCCATGTGGCTGAAAAAATGCATAAAGACTCAATCATTCGCATTCATACAACAAAGAGAAAGTTCGTTGAATAGAAAAAATGCTCCAGTTTCCATCCAATATGCAGCCAGGGAGGAAAGAAGTGCTTTTCTGTCCCACTGTAGGTTTCAATCTTCATGAATGTTGAAGAGTTTGGCTACTTCATTGAGATCTTCATGTCGCTCACCATCCTTAATGATCTAAGGAAGAAAATAACAATGGGTCCCTAACTCTCTCCATGTGCATCCAGGCCTGGCCCACACAATGGGGCTGTCCAGGCCAGCCCTGGCATACACTGAGAGTTGTGGGAACAGCTTTCTACTAACCCCAAATGAGTGGCTTGCCAACTGAGGCCACCCCTCCACATCTCATGAAAAACAAGTGTTCTGGAGCCAAGGCCATGCCTTTGTTCTACTTAGGCACAATCTGACCTGGGTGGACAATATAGCTCAGGATACCTGATGAAGTCTAGGAGAGTTTTCCCACCAGCACTTTCCATCTTCCTCTAAAGGGATCTGACAGGCACCTACCTTCCTTGCAATTGGCATTCGGTTAAAGATGTTCCATAGCACGATCCCAACCACCACTTTATCCCTGAGGTAGAAGATGACGCCTTTGCCATAGTCCTCCCCTTGGGCAGGTGCCTGTGGAACTGTAGGGGTGCTGGCAGGAATAGTGATTTCGGAAGCTTCGGATTCTGTCTCACTCTCGGAGCGGATACCGGTACCTGTGGTCAATCCCCCAAACGAACACACAAAATCCAAACATCAGTTATTAGGAGCTTGGGAAATCCTAGAAGGCAAGTGTCTTTTAAGACTTGCTTAAAGCAGTTCTATATGATTTATCTTTCTGTGCCCATCAGTGCACATGGCCTTGCCTAGCCCTCTGTGCTGACAAAGCTAAGGGAAGCTCTTCCTTGCCAACTTCCCAGGCACTGTTCAGTCTGACGCCAAGCTTCCCTCCCTTACTGCCTCATTTTAAACCTAAGTTATGGCTTATTTCCTGATAGCTAGATCTCTTCAAACTACAAAAGGCTTGCTCCTGACCTCCTCTGAAAAATATCGTTATAGGGTCTAGTACAGTAGCCACTGACCAATGTATACCTATTTCAAATTAAGTAAAACGTAGATTTTTTTTCTCCTTTTAAAAATTACCATGCAGGGCTGGGTATGTGGCTTAGTGGTCAAGGGCTTGCCTAACAAGCATGAAGCCCCGAGTTCGATTCCTCAGTACCACATAAATAGAAAAAGTTGGAAGTGGTACTGTGGCTCAAGTGGTAGAGTGTTAGTCTTGAGCAAAAGGAGGTCAGAGACAGGGCCTAGGTCCCTAGTTCAAGTTCCAGAACTGGCAAAAAGAAATACCATACATTAGTCATATGGGGTGTTTCATTGTGATATTTCCACATATGTATCTAAGGTATCTTTTTTCTTTCTTTTTGGTCATGGGGCTTGAATTTCAGGGCTTGGACACTGTCCCTGAGCTTTTCTGCTAAAGGCTAGCTCTCTGTCACTCTAATGACCCACAGTTCCACTTCCAGTCTTCTGGTGATTTATTGGAGATAACCATCTCACAGACTTTCCTGCCTGGGGCTGGCTTTGAATCATAATCCTCAGATTTCAGCCCCCTGAGTAGTTGGCATTATAGGCGTGAGCCACCAAAACCTGGCAACATCAATCTTGATCAATCTTCTGCCTTCTATCTCCCCCATTCTACACCCCTAAAATGTGTGGGTTATTTTTTGTGTGTCAGTCCTGGGGCTTGAACTTAGGGCCTGAGCACTGTTCTTGAGTTTTGTTTGTTGGTTGGTTGGTTGTGGGGCTTGAACTCAGGGCCTGGGCGCTATCCCTGAGCTCTTTTGCTCAAGGCTAGCACTCTACCACTTTGAGCCACAGAGCCACTTCCAGTTTTGAGTGGTTAACTGGAGATAAAGAGTATTACAGGGACTTTTTTTTGGCCAGGAATGGCTTTGAACCATGATCCTCAGATCTTAGTCTCCTTAGTAGCTGGGTTTACCACCACAAGCCACTGGAACCCACCCGGCTTTGAGGTTTTTTGCTCAAGACGAGTGCTCTATCACTTGAACCACAGCTCACTTCCAGCTTTTTTTGTGATTAATTGGAGATAGAGTCTTACAGACTTTCCTGCCTGGGCTGGCTTCGAACTAAGATCCTCAAACCTCAGGCTCCTGAGTGGTTAGGATTACAGGTGTGAGCTCCTGGCACCCAGCTAAATTTGTGTGTGTGGGGGGGGAGTTTGCTTGCATTCCCCTCCCCCCATTTTTGTTTTATCTTATTCTTTTCTGGGGCTAGGAATCGAATCTAGGGTGTTACAGATACTAGGTACTCTACTATTGAGCTATAGCCCCAGCCCTTGTCATATTTCAAGTGCTTAATAGACACATGGGGCCAGTGGCTTATGTTCTGGAGAGAACAGATAAAATATGTCCATCACAGAAGTAAGTTCCATTGCACAAAACTGCTATGTGGATGCTTTAGCCAAAACAGAAGTCACTTCTGTATGGGACACCATGGTGGAGGAGGCATATCTTTTCAGAGGGGGAAGTATATGGTGGCATGAAAGGGGCAATCTTGTCTCCTGAGAACCAGAAGGCTCTAGATAATATTGTCAAGTAGATAGAATAGTGATATGTAGTTCACATGCCCCTGGGTCTCTGTCCTGGATCCACTTACCAAGAGACATTAGAATTAAAGAGTATGGGCTGGGGATGTAGCTCAGTGATAAAAGTACCCGCCTAGCGTGAGACCCTGAGTTCAAACCTCAGTACCACCAATAAAAAAATTGTTTAGAGCCAGGTACCAGTGGTTCATGCCTGTAATACTAGCTAGTCCAGAGGCTGCAATCTGAGGATCACACTCCAAAGCTAGCCAGAGCAAAAAGTCCGTGAGACTTTTTTTGTCTGAGACTGGGACTCAAACTCTGTATCTGATGTTTGCTTTCACTCACTGCTGGCACTCTACTACCTGAGCCATACCTTCAATCCTCCCTGAGACTCTTATCTCTAACCAGCAAAAAACAGGAAGTTGGGTGTGGTTCAAGTGGCAGAATGCCAAACTTGAGTGAAAAAGCTAAGGGAGAGTGCCTTGGCCCTGAGTTCAAGCCCCAGTACCAGCACAAAATAAATTACTTAGGAAAAGAGCCTACAGACCCATATAATGTCTTTTTTCTTTTTAAATAGCATCTTGCCCTTGAAATACCACTAGCAAAAAATACATAAGTAACTTGAGCAAAGGTCACATAATAAGGCTGAGGATATAATGAAAAGTGTTTATGTGTGAGAAGCTCATTCCATTAGAGATACCTCCTGGTATCTAGATGTTAAAATGAAATTAGAGGTAGCTCAGTAATTTCTCAACCCTGAGCTTCACTACTCAGGGCCCATGGAACATAGCAAGGCCTAAGCTAAGGTTCTGATACCCAGTCCTTGAGGTTAGCATGAAGCAGGAAATAAAAGAAAAGAAAATCCCTAAAAAGTTCAGGTTTGTTTCATCACCTAGATTTCCTGGCTTGTAGAGACAAACCAACAGAATAACTGAATTGGCTGCTGTCCACTGTCTAGGACAGATACCAACAATAGTTAAGTCTGTGCGTTGACTAGTATACCTCATTTTGCCAGATCTTAGAACACTGAAGAGAATTCTGGGCTTGATTCTTGTCAAAGTGCAATAAAAACAGAGGCTTTCACCACCAGAATCCCCTTGTTCCAGAGACTATATTACAGACCACTCTTTTCAACACTCTTCCAAGAGAAATGGTGGTTGGGCTTCCTTACCTGATTTCTCTGTGGCAGATTTTGGGTTATCTTGTGCAGTTGCTTTTGCAAAAACACCGACAGTGGGCAAACTACTGTCCACAAGACCAATAGCTTCATAGCCAACATCAGGACCCAAATCACTCCTACAGAAGAAAAAAGAAGAGGGGGTTTTGTCAAGGGACTGTATGAAATGACATGGCGGCATTTATTTTCAAGACACTGCATTTTTTGTGTGTGTGCTGGTCCTGGGGCTTGAACTCAGGGCCTGGATGCCATCTCTGAGCTTTTGTGCTCATGGTTGGCACCATACCACTTGAGCCACAGTTCCACTTCTGGCTTTTTGGGTTGTTAATTGGAAGTAAGAGACATCCTGAGTAGCTGGGATTAAAGGCCTGAATCACCAGGACCTGGGACACTGTAGTCTTAAACCAACTAAGGACTTACAGATGCATAACAACTACAGAAATGTCAAATTGATTTGCTGCCACTAGGACATCTGGAGACAACAATGAGAAAGCAGGATTATCTTTATTTTTCCTTAAACCCACTACTCATATCACATATTTATACAATAATCTAATGTTACTGAAATTAATTCATGTTTTTATTCCATGCTACATTTGGGGTGGGATTGGTTCTTTACCTTCACTACTCACTGTAACTTATCTTAAACTCATCTTAAGATTTCCCTTTCGAGACTTTAAAGAGGGTTTCCTTCTGTGGACTATGAAATCTCTTCTGATCCCATTAATCTTTATAGTACTATCCCTTATAAGCCTTCAGTTTTCTTTTTTTGGTGTGCTGGTATTAGGGTCTGAACTCAGAGCTTGGATGCTGTCATTTAGCTCTTACACTCAAGGCTAATGATTTACCACTTAAGCTACTGCTCCACTTTTGGCTACTTTTTGGTAGTTAATTGGACATAAAAATCTCAGAATTTCCTGTCAAGTCTGGCTTTGATCTGTGACTTTTTTTTTGGGGGGGGGGGGGGTCCGGTCGTGGGGCCTGAACTCTGGGCCTGGGCACTGTCCCTCAGCTCTTCAGTTCAAGGCTAGCGTTTTACCACTTGAGCCACAGCGCCACTTCCAGCTTTTTTCTTTTTGCTTATGTGGTGCTGAGGAATCGAACCCAGGGCCTCATGCATGCAAGGCAACTGTTCTACCACTAAGCCACCTTCCCAGCCCCTGAACTACGATTCTTGTATCTTAGCCACCTAAAAGTAGCTAGAATTATAGGTGTGAGCCACCAGCACTGGCCAGAAAAATTCAGTTTACAAGTCTTGAATACTATAAAGAGGCATTTCAGTTATTTGGAAACTACTATCATATTATACCTTTTAAATTATTTACTTATATTATCTTTGAATAGTTGAACAAAGTAGTTTCAATGAAACATGTCAATTTATGTGTACAGTTTTTTTTTTGTGCAACTATTGGGGCTTAAACTCATGACCTCCTACACTCTCTTAGCTTTCTTCAGTCCCAGCGGGCACTCTACTACTTTAGCCATGCCTCAAATTCTGGCCTTTTTGGGTTAAATGGAGATAAGAGTCTCTTGGATTTGTCTGCATGAAGTTTCCAACCTAAATATTCAGGTCTCAATCTCCTGAGTAGCTAGATTATAGGTGTGAGTCACCAGTATCTGAGCACTTTTCTTTTCTCTCTTTTCTTTGAGGCAGGTTGTTGCTAATATAATACAGACTGGCCTAGAACTTCTGACTATCCTGTCTCTGCCACCTGAGTGCTGGAATTACATGTGTGTAACACATTTGAATCACTAGCCTTCTCTTTTCCAAAGAATTGCCTTATGTGACTAACTTTGAATTACTGAAGTGTTATTTATGAGCAGGCTGTATTTTTTTCAGTATGTTGGGCTAATTAGGGGTAACCAGAAAAATAAAATAAAATATACTGCTGCTTATTTCTAACAGGGCACTTTTATACTACCTACTAAAGCTCAAATTTGGAGTTATTTTGTTAGAATTGTTGATGCCCTCAACACCTACTTACCTCATCTAACAGGATATTTTAACCCGATGGCTACTTGGGGGTAGTGGCCATTACATGGAATAGAATTTTTCCAATCAGTATGAAGCTAACTGGCCCACAAAGAAACCAAACCATTTCTCTGTGTTATGAGCTTATTAATACTGAGCTCTAACCACAATTGAGTCCCCACAGTACAGATTACCAGAACATTGACTGATGCCAGTATGGCTTAGCAGCTCCAGTCATGTTTTCTCCAGCCAGTCTTCCGCTCACAACAGCGTGATCATGGTGTTCCACTCGCCTCCTACCCAACTTTATATCATAGAAGCAGGCAGCATCCCCTGCCTATGGAAATATACAACATGAATACATGATTTAACAAAAATCAGGCTAAAGACATGTTCAAAGGACCCTTATAATTAGATAATTAATGTTTTTTATCAATACACTAGAATGATACCTAAATTACCAAAAGGTTATGATTCCATTGTGTGTGTGTGTGTGTGTGTGTGTGTGTGTGTGTGTGTGTGTGTGTGTGTGTACACGCATATGCGCTAGCACACTGGCCTGGGTCCCATCCCTGAGCTATTTTGCTCAACACTAGTGATCTGCCACTTGAGCAGCACCACTTCTGGCTTTTTTGGTGGCTAATTGGAGTTAAGAGTCTCATAGACTTTTTTTTTCTATTTAAACAAACAGGTTTAATGTTAGCATGGAATGCAAAAGACTAGAGCCATTATTCCTGTGACTTAAAAAAATCATTAAAATAAATAAAATTAACCAAGACAGTGACCTCATAGACTTTTATACTTGAACCCTCACCTTCAGATGTCAGCCTCCTGGGTAGCAAGCCACTAGTGCCCTGCACTTTTTTTTGCCAGTTGTAGGCTTGAACTCGAGTCTGGGAGCTATCCCTAAGCCTTTTCAGCTTGAGTCTAGTACTCTACTACTTGAGTCACAGATCCACTTTGGGCTTTTTTTTGGTGATTAACTGGAGATAAGGCTCTCATCGACTTTCCTGCCTGGGCTGGCTTTGAACTGCAATCCTAAGATCTCAGCTTCCTGAGTAGCTAAGATTACAGATGTGAGCTACCAGTGCCCAGGTCCGTAATAGTTTTTTTTTTTTTTTTCCGGTTGTGGGGCTTGAACTTGGCCTGGGCACTGTCCCTCAGCTCTTCAGCTCAAGGCTAGCACTCTACCACTGGAGCCACAGGCCACTTCTGGCTTTTTGTGCTTATGTAGTGCTGAGGAATCGAACCAAGGGCCTCATGCATGCAAGGCAAGCACTCTACCACCGAGCCACCTTCCCAGCCCTCTCCATGCCTGTAATCCTAGCTACTAAGGAGGCTGAGATCAGAAGACTGCAGATCAAAGCCAGCCCAGGCAGGAAAGTCCATAAAACTCTTATCTCTAATAAACCACCCAAAAACCAGAAGTGGGACTGTGGCTCAAGTAGTACAGCATTAACCTTGAACTGAAGAACTGAGGGACGGCACCCAGGCCCAGAATTCAAGCCCCACAACTGACAGAAAAATAAATAAATAAAGGAATTTCTACTTCCACAAAAGTAATTGGAGTCTCCTTCACTTCACTTTAGGTACACTTGTTTCTGTTCAATCTGTCCTTACCAGACAGGCTATTTGATAACTATGATCTGCTGAAATTATAGGTATGCACCACCACTCTTGGCTCAGAATATTCTTCTATATCTGGAAGCCAGTTTTTAGATGTGACTGCCTTGCATGTAGAAATCTTGTCTAAGATAAGGGTTTTGGGGTCATTATTTAGTATTCACTCAAGTGTTTATGGGGTATTTAACATATATAAAAAGCACTATGCTTGGGGCTGGGAAGGTGGCTCAGTGGTAGAGTGTTTGTCTTGCATGCATGAGGCCCTAGGTTCAATTCCTCAGCACCACATAAGCAGAAAAAGCCAGAAGTGGCACTGTGGCTCAAGTGGTAGAGCGCTAGCCTTGAGCTGAAAAGCTGACAGTACCCAGGCCCAGAGTTCAGGCCCCATGACAGACCCCCCCCAAAAAAGCATTATGCTATCTGGGTTGCTGAGATGGAATGGACACTACCCTTGCCTAAGAACCATGTGGGATTAGTACAGAAAGATACAGCACTTTTCATAACTACAGAGCAATGTAAACAAGTAATGTGACTAAGAGAGTATAGATTCAACAAAGTAAGTAGCTCAGCAGACTGAGAGAACCCCAGCTAGGGGTGAGCAGTGTGGTATCTGAGCTCTGTAACCCTTATTCACATTTATGGCTACTTGGGCTCCCCCAAAGCAACCTAAAAATGCAATAAATGAGCAATAGCAAAGTAAACTATGAAATCCATTTAACAGAATATTATATGGCTATTAAATTGTTTACAGAGTCTGAAGCAAGATGAAAAATGCTTAAATTTATGATGATAAGTGAAAAAGAACAGAATATAAATGTTTATACATAGTATGCTCACCTCAACCATGTAGAACAAAGAAAAAACTTGCATAAGGAAGCAAAGGGAAGGAAATACACTAAAACATTCAAGATTGCTGCAGGTGACTGCCCTCCTTCTCCTTCATGGCTGTGTCTTCTGTGTTAAATGCATATTACTTTTATATCAGGTTTAAAAATCCATACATTTGCTCTTTCTTTTATGTATGTATGTGTGTTTGTATTGGGGCTTAAACTCAGGGTCTGTCCCTTAGCTTTTTCCTCATGGCTGACACTCGACCACTTCAGCCACAGCTACACTTTTGGCTTTTGCTGTTTAATTCAAGGTAAGAGTGTCACAGACTTTCGTGTCTGAGCTGGGTTCAAACTATAATCCTCAGATCTCAGCCTCCTGAATAGCTAGGATTACAGGCATGAGCCACCAGCACATGGCTCATTTTATCTTAAATGAAAAAAGGAAAAACAATCTTTGGAGAGAAAAATATCCCTTCAAGGCTCTTATGTCTTTAGTTACAGAGTCCATGCTCAAAGTCATACCCTTGTAATGATCTGACAATGAGGAAATTACTTCATGGCTCCTATATACTACAGTCTTGTTTGTGTCATAATAGGGTTTCCAAAACAGCTAAAAATAGCACACAAGGACAATGAAGCATGGTGATACTCCTTTCAGTGGGACATGTTACAAAACCATTTCATCTTCTACTCCTTGGACTTGAATTTGAGCTACAAGAACAGCAGATACTTGTGAAAGCTGTGCATATGTCCACGGGGTTATGTCATGGCTGTTGCCAACACAGAGTTCAGTTTCTATAGCCATATACTGTTTTTCTCATCTTCTATTAACCTGCAGTGAAGCCATACTTGTTTTCCTAATTGAAGCAGTTCACAAATTTCAATTCTCTTGCCTTGGTCTCTAAACACTTTGACCTTATTTGGTTAAGCTATCAATGGGCCTTAGCATACTACCTGCCAAACCTGCCCACAGGCAATTGTACCTGGTCATGCTGTAGCACACTTACCACCCAGATATTAGAGCGTGCTTGTAGCTCTGCATTTACCCGGAAGCCACCAAAATCTGAGTCTATTTCCAGTCCACCAGTCTTGGCCAACTCAACATTGGGCTCCAGGCCCACAGCTGCCACTATGTGGTCAGTTTCTACCTGAGGCAAAAAAGAAATTTAGTCAATTACCAGTTTCTACTTGTGCCTATTGAGATAATAATTGCACATCATGTCATTAAGGATCAGAGTTTCCCCTGAGTAACAGTTTAACAAAATGAATACCAAGAAACTGAAATATGTATTGTGAGGGGGGAGAGGTCAAAGGGACAGGAGGGTAGATGAATGGAGAGAGGAATAGTTAGCAAATAAATCATATGTACATATATGTGAAACTCAATGTGCATATATGTGAAAAGGGAACCAAGTGTTTTCAGGGGATTGGATGGGGTTAGGTTAGATTGGGGCAAAATGGAGATGGGTTACACTGATCAAGATGCAATATACTCATAAACTGACAAGTTGGGGGCTGGGAAGGTGGCTCAGTGGTAAAGTGCTTGCCTTGCATGCACAAGGCCCTGGGTTCGATTCCTCAGCACCATGTAAGCGGAAAAAGCCGGAAGTGGTGCTGTGGCTCAAGTGGTAGAGAGCTAACCTTGAGCTGAAGAGCTGAGGGACAGCGCCCAGGCCCAGAGTTCAAGCCATACAACCGACAAAAAAAAAAAACAAAACTGACAAGTTGAATTTAAACCCTTTTATATAGCTACTTAAGGATAATTAAAACAAACATGTTTAATGTTAAGAAAATTAGTTTAGAAAAGATTTTATTTTTTGGCCAGTCATGGGGCCTGAACTCTGGGCTTGGGAGCTATACCTCAGCTCTTCAGCTCCAGGCTAGTGTTCTAACATTTGAGTCACAGTGCCACTTCCGGCTTTTTCTGCTTATGTGGTACTGAGGAATCAAACCCAAGGCCTTGTGCATGCAAGGCAAGCACTCTACCACTCTAGCCACCTTCCCAGCCCGAAAAGAATTTTCTTATGAACCCAGTTAACCCAGACTCCTTCTGTCAAAGGGCTAGATATGTAACCCAGTAGTCTAACATTTGTCTGTACATCCAAGGCTTCAAGTTACATCCCCAGTATTACCAAAATAAACAAATGATTGGAACTTTAAAAATCCATGGGTGCCAGGTGTTTGTGGCTCACGTCTATAATCCTAGCTACTCAAGAGCCTGTGAACTGGGCTGGGAAGGTGGCTCAGTGGTAGAGTGCTTGCCTTGCATGCCTGAGGCCCTGGGTTCGATTCCTCAGCACCACATAAGCAAAAAGAAAAAAGCCGGAAGTGGCGCTGTGGCTCAAGTGGTAGAGCGCTAGCCTTGAGCTGAAGAGTTGAGGGACAGTGCCCAGGCCCAGAGTTCAGGCCCCACGACTGGACCCAAAAAATAAATAATTAAAAAAAAAAGAGCCTGTGAACTGCGAATCATGGTTTGAAATCAGCTTGGGCAGAAAAGTCCATGACTCTTATCTCCAATTGATGAGCAAAAAGCCAGAAGTGGAGTTGTGGCTCAAGGGGCAGAGCACTAGCCTTGAGGAAAAGGCTAAGAGACAGCACCCAGGCCCTGTATTCAAGCCCCAGTACTGGCATGCAAGTTCATGCACACACACACACACACACACACACACTCACAAAATAATAATGGGTCAACTTATGTCTAGTAAATGCATTTTCAGTTCTACTTTATAAGCCTCTGTCAGCCCCACACATAGTCCATGTCATCTGAACAGAAATCTGCCACCCTAACAAGGAGTCAAAAGGTTAAGGGAAAGCTATCAAAACGTTAAGGGAAAGTAGTTCCCAGGTGCCCGCTCTGGCTTTCATCACCCTCTTTCAATGTGGAGATAGTTAATTCAGAAAATTATGACAGGTGAACGGTGGCTGCCAAGAAAATGAAATCCACTGGTGTCAACTGAAGAAATGAGAATGAGGAAAGGGGAGGGGAGGGCCAGCCAACCTGCTGGCAGTCTGTCTTCTTACCTTCCTGCCATCTTTCAGCTTGATGAGTAACTTGCCACCACTAACTCCAACTGATTGCACAATTGCATTGGGTATCACCTTCACTCCCTCTGTAAAGGCAAATGAGACCTAGGGCTTAGTCCAGAATTCTGATACTTTCCTAGAAAGCAGAGGCTCAAGAGAGGCTTCACCTATATTGCAAAATCAGCCATTCTCAATATGTATTAGCCCTGCACAGTCACAAGAACCTATACCCATGGTTTACGCTTATTGGCATAGATTAATTGTACCAAGTGGCTTCCTTCTGATTACTTCTGTACATGCATATAACATACTTTGATCAGATTCACCTCTGCTATTACCCACAACCATTTTTAGCACTTCTAAATGTTTGTGAACTTCCTGGGTGACTGGAAAATCATGAAACACGTCACATGCCAGGTGATAAACTCCTAGGGCTTATATCAAGGGAGTTCCTCATAAAGCTTAGTTTACCCTCAAGCCATACTCAAAGGAAACAGAGTAGCATATGGAAATAGTCTCTTTACCTTGTCTGACTTTTTCCATGGTCCAGTTGCTAAGATATTCAGGGAGGATCTTCCCCATGTTTCCCTTCTCTGGGAAGAGCTGAATCACTTCTGTTCCCAAGGCTCGAGCTAGGGAGAAGAAAAGCAGTAGTCACAGCAGAAGCCAGAAGCCAGTCTCAGTGGGGAAGGAAGAAAGGAGAAGGCAGTTCTTCTAGACACAGGGCAGAGCTACCACCAGGCCACAGCTCCTGCTTCTGGGGCAATGGGACACAAGGGCCCTGGTTCTCAAGTTCATTCATAAGGCAAAGCAACAGGTATCAGAACTGCTGTCCATAGATTAAGCTACCAACTGTTACTTCAGTGTACTTTCACCCATGCTATCAACAGAGGCTTGCATAAGGGCTTTGCAACCTCTGAATAGGAAAACACCCTCTTGAGAAGATGCACTTACATCGTATCTCCAATAAACTACTCACAAAAAGCCAGAAGTGGTGCTGTAGCTCAAGTAGAGCACTAGCCTTGAGCAAAAAGTGGCTCAGGGACAGCACCCATGCCCTGAGTTCAACCCCTATGACCAGTTTTTAAAAAAGGACCATATTGACACAGAAAATAGAGGGACAAAAAAGGGTAAACAAATACAGCAGTGGTACTCACTAGATACTGTTGAAAATGAACTATACAACTTGTGGGTGGAGAGAGCCAGAGAAGGGGTGACATTGTCCAAAAAGAAACGTATTCTTGGGGCTAGGAAGGTGGCTCAATGGTAGAGCGCTTGCCTTGCATGCATGAGGCCCTGGGTTCGATTCCTCAGTACCACATGAGCAAAAAGAAAAAAGCCGGAAGTGGCGCTGTGCCTCAAGTGGTAGAGCACTAGCTTTGAGCTGAAGAGCTAAGGGACAGTGCCAGGTCCAGAGTTCAGGCCCCACGACTGGACCCCCCCAAAAAGAAAAGAAAAGAAAAGAAAAGAATTATTGCCGGGCGTGGGTGGCTCACGCCTGTAATCCTAGCTACTCAGGAGGCTGAGATCTGAGGATCGCAGTTCAAAGCCAGCCTGGGCAGGAAAGTCTGTGAGACTCTTATCTCCAATAAACCACTAGAAAACTGGAAGTGGTGCTGTGGCTCAAGCGGTAGAGTGCTTGCCTTGAGCTGAAGAGTGCAGGGACAGCGCCTAAGCACAGAGTTCAAGCCCCATGACCGACCAAAAAAAAAAAAAAAAAAAGAAAGAAATGTATTGTTTACCTGACTTATGTAACTGTAACCCTTCTATACATCACCTTTATAATAGCAATACATTTTTTTTTAAAAAAAGAACCATATTGGTGCCACTGGTTCATGCTTATTATCCTACCTACTCAGAAGGGTGAAATCTGAGGAGGTTTGAAGCCAGCTGGGGCAGAAAATTCCATAAGATTCTTCTTAGCAGCAAAAAGGCCAGAAGTGGAGCTGTGGCTTAAGTGGTAGAGTGCCAGCCATTAGAGAAAAAGCCCAGTGAGAGACCCTGAGTTCAAGCCCTAGTACTGGCATGGACATATGCACATGTACACACATAGTATGTGTGCATACACATACTATAACACTAGAAATCATATTTACTGTGAACTGAAAATTATAGTGGGATCCACCACTGGCATGAAGAAAGCAATTGGCTTTTTTTTGGGGGGGTGCCATTTCTGGGGCTTGAATTCAGGGCCTGGTACTGTCCTTGAGCTTTTTTGCTCCAGGTTAGTATGCTACCACTTGAGCCATACCTCCCCTTCCAGCTTTTTTGGTGGTTAATTGGAGGTAAGAGTCTCATGAGCAGCTTGGGCAGGTTTTAAACTGTGATCCCCAAGTCGGGCACTGGTGGCTCACTCCTGTAATGGTAGCTACTCAGGAGGCTGAGATCTGATCTGATGATCAAGGTTCAAAGCCAGCCCAAGCATGAATGTCCGTGAGACTCTTTTTTTTTGTAGGTCATGGGGCCAGAACTCTGGGCCTGGGCACTGTCCCTCAGCAATGCAGCTCACGGCTAGCGCTCTACCACTTGACCCTCAGTGCCACTTCCAGATTTTTCTGCTTATGTGGCACTGAGGAATCGAACCCAGGGCCTCATGCATACAAGGCAAGCACTCTACCACTGAGCCACCTTCCCAGCCCCCGTGAGACTCTTATCTCCAATAACCACCAGAAAACTGGAAGTGGCACTGTGGCTCAAGTGGTAGAGCACTTGCCTTAGGCTGAAGAGCTCAAGAACAGCACCCAGGCCCAGAGTTCAAGCCCCACAACTGACAAAACCCCAAAACAAAACATAAAACCCCCCAAATTGTGATATACAAAACCCAAAACAAAAAAAAACAAAACTGTAATCCCCAGGTATCAGCCTCCTGAGTAGCTTGGATTAAGGACATGAGCCACTGGCACCATCAGTGTTTGGCTTTTCACTGAGGCAACAGTTCAAAGATATACACAGTTCTGTTGTCTGTACTGTCACTATTATATTTTTCTGGGGGATTGATCTTGTGTCTTGAACTTGGGCATTGTCCTTGAGCTTTTGTTGTCAAATCTAGTACTCTAACACTTGAGCCACTGCTCCATTTTTCTGGTGATTAACTGGAGATAAAAAGTCTCATGGATTTTCCTGCCCAGGCTGGGTTTGAACTGAAATCCTCACATTTCTCAGTTTCCTGAGGAGCTAGTTTTATAACTTTTTTTTTTGGCCAGCCTTGGGGTCTGAACTCAGCCTGAGCACTGTCCTTGAGCCTTGTTGTGCTCAAGGCTAGTACTCTATCACTTGAGCCACAATGCCACTTCTGGCTTTTTCTGAGTAGTTTATTGGAGATAAGAGTCTCAATCCTGAGATCTCAGCCTCCGGAGTTAGCTAGAATGAAAGGTGTGAGCCACTGGCACCAGCTTATCGTTATTATCTTAATAAGCACTTTTCTAAATATTTTTTCTTTATGGCAGTATGGAGGTTTGAACCTAGAGCCTCATATTGCTAGGTAGGCACTCTACTGCTGGAATCATGCCCCTAAGCCTTTTTTGTTGTATTTATTTTTCAGAGAGAGTCTCATGTTTTTTTGCTGGGACTGCCTTCAGACCTCCATTATTCTACTTTTGAAGACATGAACCACTATACTTGGATTATTTGTTGAGATGAGTGTCTCACTACCATTTTCCCCCGTGTTAGCCTCAAACCATAATCTTTTCTATCTCTGCTCCCCAAGTAGGTAGGATTATACAGATATGCCAAAATGCCTAACCTCTAATATTCTATTTCTAAAGAGTCCTGGCATAGAAGATAGAGGAAAAGAAAGAATGCACTGCTGTTAATTTTCTCAGATGACAGCTTTTGTCACTGAGGGATCCTCATTGTGACTAACATCATCAGCCCTTATTTTCACACTCTGTAAATCTTTTTTTTCTGATCCTAGGGCTTGAACTCAGGACCTGTGCACTGTCCTTGAGCTTTTTTGTTGTTGTTGTTCAAGGTCAGCTCTCTACCACCTGTGCCAAACCTCCACCTCTGGCTTTTTGGTGGTTCATTAGCGATACAACTTTCCTTCCCAGGCTGGCTTTGAACTACAATCCTCAGATCTCAGCCTCCTTAGTAGCTAAGATTATAGCTATGAGCTACTAGTGCCTGGCTTCACTCTGTAAATCTTAACTGAATTCTTTCTTTTTTTTTTTTTTTTGTCAGTTGTGGGGCTTGAACTCTGGGCCTGGGCGCTGTCAGCTCTTCAGCTCTTCAGCTCAAGGCGAGTGCTCTACCACTTGAGCTACAGCACCACTTCCGGTTTTCTGGTGGTTTATTGGAGATAGGAGTCTCACGGTCTCTCCTGCCCGGGCTGGCTTTGAACCGCGATCCTCAGATCTCAGCCTCCTGAGTAGCTAGGATTACAGGCGTGAGCCACCAGCGCCCAGCTTTAACTGAATTCTTTCTACATCCCCTAGCAAATACACCTCTGGAATTTGTGACAGCCCTTCAAGACACATGTAATGAAAAATTAGAGAAAGAAAATCAAGGTTACTCCTTAATACCCTTTCTGCCAAGAGCACAGGCCAGTTCACTTCCAAGGAAGCCCCCACCAATAACTGTAATCGACTTGACTTCTCGGGAGATCTTCTCCAAGGTTCTAAAGTCTCCAACCTGTAGGAACATATGATTTTAGAGCACTGATTTCTTCAAAGGGATAGGATAATAATCCTAGGAACTATTTTCTCTTAATCTTTCACAACGTACTTTGCACAGAAAATCTTATATTATTAAGTGGCCTCTATATTAGAATTTCCTTCTCCATTGTAACATTCTTTCTGGTAACAGTGGTTAACTAATGGCACTTTTGTCCCCATAGGGACATGTGGCAGAGTCTGGAGATAGTTGTGGTTGTCAGGGCAGGGAGGTGCTCCTACCATCTAGTAAGTAGCTGCAGGGATGTTGTCAATATCTTACAAAGCACAGGAAAGTCTCCCACATAAACACTTCTCCAGCCCAGCATGGCAATATTGTGAAGGCTGAAAAATCTTGTCCTATCAAGACCTTAAAGTACAGTAGTACAAACATTATCAAATACCAACCTAAGAGTGGCTGGAAAATGAGAGCAGTTTTTCTAAGCAAAGCATGGTGTTAAGAAGAAAACTACTTCCTTTCCTTTTTACTTGACTGCTCTTGACCTTCCCCTGAAAGTCTCCACACAGCACTTGCAGTGAAAAATGCCAAGAGGAGTTCCAGTGAATCAATGCCTCCAACAAAAAAAGCATGGAAGGGCAGTTGGAAAGGAACTGTAGCACACAATAAAAACACCAAATGCATTTTTCTCATAGGAGCATAAAACTCTTGAGTGAGGTATTTGAGGTAGAGAAAGGAAGTAACATGCTGGAGGCTAGATAACAAGTCTAGAGAAGAGCCATAAATAGAACTTAGATCTTCCAATTCCTGGGTGGACAATTGGGGCCACAAGATTGCATTACCACTTCAAAACAACACAAAGAAAACACTAAAGCAATTACCTTTCTGAAAAGTGTCGTTCTGCTTTTCACCTCTGCTCCAGCCCTATCAATAGCAGACAGATTTCTTGGAGTACCTCCTGGAAATAAGAGGCACAGGAAAACCTTTTAGTCCAACAAGGAAGAGATAGCCCATACAACTCTCCCAGCCTAGGTGGAGCTCTCTGTCACTGCCACTCTGTTGTTGCTTGTGGTACTGGGGCATGTGTGCTCTCTGCTGGTGCCACAGAATGACTAAAAGATAGGATGGCTTTGTGTTCTGTCAACTAACTTCACAGCAGTCTTTTTAAAAAATCAATTTTCTTTGAAAAGCAGGTTTGAGCTTCTCTCTTGTTTTAGGGGCACTAGCTAGTGCCAGAAGGCTTCCCTTGCTGCTTCAATGGCTTCTTCTAGGATCTTATGAAGGTTCACCAGCTCGCATGCTACCCTACTCACATTAGCTGCTCATCTCCTCTCATGATTGCAGTTTTGGACTGGCAATGAAACCACAATGCTATACTACTCTCAGAGTACACAGTGAGCATTAGGTGTGAAGGAGGGAAAAAGGGGCAAATTCTTCATGCCTTTATGAGGAGCAACAGCAAAGACGATCCAGAAGGGCCTGTGTCTATAGGTTTTACAAAAGGACACCACTTCAGAGGCTCTGGGTTTCAGTTTTCTTTCCTTTCTTTCCCCCCCTCTTCCTTTTCTTTCCTTCTGTGGTATTGGGGACTATAACCCAGGGCGTCCCTCTTGCCAAGCAGGTGCTCTACCACTTGAACAACACCCCAGCCCTAAGTTAAGGTTAAAAAAGTAATACCTTCTATAGAGAAGGATAGACTCTTAAAACCTGAATGGGCACAAAATACTCACCTGTTGCAATCAAGCACTTTTCATAGGTTATCTGACAGCCATCATTAAGTTTCACCATGTTGCCTCTCACATCAAGTTGTACTACCTAGTAGTCACAGAGAGAGAGAGAGAGAGCGAGAGGGAGAGAGAGGTGTATAGATGAATTAGCTTTGAGAACATTTGTACTGAGATATAATTCATATGACATTTGTCATTTTAAGGTGTATAGTTGATCAGATTTTAGTATATTTACAATCTTGGGTGACCATAATCATTATCTAATTGCAGAGCATTTACATCACCCTTCCCTAATTAAAGTCTTTGGGCCTATTATCTGTTGGCCCAAAGAGAATGTATTAGTTTGACATAGAGCAATCCCTATTAAACCATTTTTAAAAACTCACTGAAAGCTACTGAACAATAGGGAAAGCATGGGAACCAGGAAAGTGAGTTAATCTGACTAACTTTTAATATATCACACGTGAGTTACCATGATGAAACTACTTTTATGATTAATATATGCTAAAAAATGAAAATAAGTAATCACAGGAAAGTAAACAGGCTATGTTGGGAGGTGGTTACCAGTGGCAGCAGGAGGGCAGGGGGAGAGTAAATGAGTGTGCAAATGGTCAAAGTACTGTATATGCATGTATGAAAGCAGAATTATGAAACCTGAGGGAGATAGATGGAAAGGTGAGTCTGATCAGGGTACACTGCATGTATATGTGGAAAAACGTAAGAAATCCATCCTTGTACAACTAATGTATGCTAGTTAAAAAAAGGAAAAGAAACCGTTCCTAAGTAGTCACCAGAATTATAGTTTCTAGTATCTTGTATTTTCCAGTGGCCATAAGTTCCTAAGCAGCCAACATTAGAGCCAGTTGGTCTCCACAATTACTACCTGACTTGTGGAAATGAGGAATACGGGGCAGACTTTTCCATTTGGCTATTTGGAATCCTTATCTCTTTAACAACTTTCTTATATCCACAATACCCTGAAAGAATGCTTTCTCTAACGTCTAGTCTTTACTAAACCTCAGTTCTCTCACAATTATTGTGTACATGTAAAGAATGTTTATGAGTTCATACCACATGTCACAAAGCCAGGAAGAGGTGATGGCATTTTTGGCGTTTCCTGTGATGGCTGCCACTGCTTGTAGCTTCTTGTCCCTTCTTTCTCTTCTGAGAGATACCAACTTATATCCCTGGCCACTCTTTCTTACCCACTGCAGACCTTGGAACCTGGTTCATATTTTCCTCTGAGCCAGAACCTGGTTCTTGTTATCTCTTAGACTACTCTTTCTACCTCAAATATCTCATTCTTACAGCTTTCTCAGTCTCATTGTCTTCTTGACTTTTTTTTTCTTTCTGGCAGTGCTTTGGATTGAACCCAGGGCCTTGTACATGTGAGGCAAGCACCATTGAGCCACATCCACAGCTTAGTCCCACTGCCTTCTATACTCACTTTTGATTTTCTATTTATTAGCTGGCTGTTTCATTCCCAACTAATGTGGATTGATAGATCATCCAAACTGATCTCTTGTCTCCTAATCCATAATATCCTTGCCCCTACTCTTAGAAGCAATTCTATTTTATTTATTTGTTTGTTTGTTTGTTTGTTTTGGGTCCAGTCGTAGTGCCTGAACTCTTGGCCTGGGCGCTGTCCCTCAGCTCTTCAGCTCAAGGCTAGCGCTCTACCACTTGAGCCACAGAGCCACTTCCAGCTTTTTTCTTTTTGCTTATGTGGTCCTGAGGAATCGAACCCAGGGCCTCATGCATGCAAGGCAAGCACTCTACCACTGAGCCACCTTCCCAGCCCTCCTTGCCCCTACTCTTTACAGTAAGCACTTGAGACATGTAGTCAGACTAGTTTCTAGCCTCTGCTCCAATCTTTACAATCTGTAGGCCATCCATTCAAGAAATATTTAGGTGCACTGCTAGGTGCTAGGGACACAATGGCAAGAAAGACAGCTTCTCTGCCTTCAGAGTTTTCTTGTCCAAGAAAGACGATTTGACAAGTGCTACTAATAAACAAATGACAAACACGACACAAGTGGTTAGGGCGGTGTAGGTAGCAATAGGCCAGAATTATATATGTGTACCACTTGAGTCAGGCTGAGTTGTGGTAAAGCTTTCCAGATGCACTGCCAGACACTGGTATCTGTTGAACCAGTAGCTTCTTTAGTGTTCTTGGATTCATCCTTGGTTTATTCCCTCTTTAATCCAACCTACTACTCATGCTGACAGTGCTCACTCAGCCACATTATATACTTATTACAAGAATAAGTGACGGCATTAGATGTGATCTTCTTCAGCTTCCCGTACAGATTGCAATGTCCCCGACCTGCCAATAAAACCTTACTTCTGGGCTGGGAGGGTGGCTCAGTGGTAGAGTGCTTGCCTTGCATGCATGAGTCCCTGGGTTTGATTCCTCAGCACCACATAAGCAGAAAAAGCCAGAAGTAGCACTATGGCTCAAGTGGTAGAGCGCTAACCTTGAGCTGAAGAGCTGAAGAACAGTGCCCAGGCCTAGAGTTCAGGCCCCACAACTGACAGAAAAACCCTTACTTGTGTTATCACTTCCTTTTTGTTCTGCTTCTGTGTTTAACTCCCATCCTGTCCTGTTTCTCAGCATCATCTCCTATCAATTGTCCATTCACTACTCCCACCTCTCTCTCCTGACATCAGTCTAACATACTTGTCCTATCCAAGATGACTCCACCTCCGATTCTATGTCTTCTTCAAGTTCCTGTCTAATTGCTAGCTCCTCCCTTTTCTCATTTAAACTGTGTTAAAGAGTTACTTTGCTAATTCCAAAATATCAGAACCACAAAATTGAATGGGATATTTTACAATGTTTTTCTTACCAGATTCTTTGGTCATAGTGACAGTGTGTATCAAGTGCTCCTTCCTGCCAGTCCCTACAACCTTGGCTCCTGTCCTAGGTTCTTCTTATGCTGCTCTGCAAGTTTTTTCCTAGTATCCTTTGTGGATTCTTCTTATTAAGCCTGCCTTCTCAGGCATAAGTTGGGGTTTCCCAGGCTACTATTCTTGTCCTACTCCTCTTCTCACTAGATAAGATTGTCTCTGGGAGGTTTCACTAACACTCATGGTTTCAACTCCTGCACATACTCGAATGTTTTTCAAATCACCCAGTTTCCTCCTGAGTGTGACAGTCACATACACAACTATGCAGAAGGTATCATCATAATGACAGTCCACTTCATACTTAACAGCTCAACACCGATTTCTATCCTCCTCTTCAAATTAGCTCTTTCTCATGAAATGTCTTTCTCAGTTGAGAGCCCACTGCTGTCTACTGCGATACACGTTAGAAATTACAGTCACCTTTGTTTCTGCTCTCTGCTCATCTTTCAAGTTCATCTAACCTCCACACCTATTAGGCATATGAAGTCTGTACCCCAATAGTACAAGGGAATCAAATCCAGTGTCAAAAAGATCATCAGCTTTTAGTCAGGAAGTGATATATCATTAAGAACTTGGGCCTTAGAATCAGAATGTCTTGGTTCTAATTCTGTATTCAGAGAGATCCGGGTTCAAATTGCGTCAATATCACTTATTAGCTGTGTGAGGTTAGGCAGATTTAAGTTTTTACTACTAAAAATCTAGGATTGGTGGCTCATGCTTGTAATCCCAGCTACTCTGAAAATAAGAAATCCGGAGGATTGCAGTTTGAAGTCAGCACAGGGAAAAAGTCAGACTTCCCATCTCAACCAATAAACCAGTAATGGTAGTTCACACTAAGAATCCCAGCTACACAGAAAGCATTGATATAGAGGATCATAGCCTAAAGCTGGCCTGGGCAAAAAGAGACATAATCTGAAAAAAATAACTGGAGCAAAAGGGGCTTGGGAATGTCACTCAAATGAGTTTAATCCCCAGTTATACCCCTCCCCAAATCCTCAATTATAATAATACCTTATAAAATTATTGTGAGGAAAAAAGGAGATAATTTACATAAAGCATTTAAAAACAACACTTATAAAAATCAGAATAGGTAATACATAACCTATGGCCTTTCCTTTCTTCTTCATGATCCTTATTATCATCCTTGCTACTATCCTAATTTAGATTCTCATCATCCGAGTGTCCAGATTACTACAATCATTTGCAAAATGTGTTGTCTCTGGTATTCTCCTAAGTCTATCTTTGTCATCGTCAAGAGCAATTATTTAAAATTCAGTGTAAGTACTTTATATTCCAGCCTAAGTCTCAATAGCTCCCCTTAGCAAATAAACTACTAGAGCTCTTTTACACAAGTACAAAATCTCTCCAATACCAAGCTCCATAAACAAGCCCTTGCATAACTTCTCAGTTTTTGTTTCTTCCTTCCCTCTTTTTTGCCAGTCCTGGGGCTTGAACTCAGGGACTGGGCATTGTCCCCGAGCTTCTTTTGCTCAAGGCTAGCACTCTACCACTTGAATCACAGCGCCACTTCTAGCCTTTTCTGTTTATGGGGTTGAACCCAGGGTTTCATGCATGGTAGGCATGCACTCTACCACTAAGCCACCTGCCCAGCCCCTTTCTTGCTTCTCTTTTATTTAAAGTATAACTATTTTCAAGTCAATCTTTTTTGAGAGGTAAAGTGCTGAGGATCGAATCCTGGGCCTCACCCAAATTAGACAAGTGTTCTACCCTTGTTCTACATCCCCAGCCCTCTACTTTGAACTTTCTCTGCTGTATTAGTAACTAAGGGATTATTTTCCTTGCACCAGACATGCCTTACATACCATTGGGCTGTTTATGCCATTCATTTTTACTTGAATGTTCTTAACATGAATACTCACTCTTCTGTAGTCTATGCCTCTTCATTGCATAAGACTTTCCAGTCTGTAAGACTTCTTCACCTCCAGAAAGCCTTTCCTGTATGCATCCCTGTACTGGGCATTATTCTCAGTAATTCTTACCATACTGGACCTCTCCCTTGTACCTCCTATGTGCTATCATCTAGCTATATTCCTGCCTGTTACTGTTATGTTTTTTTTGGGGGGGGGGAGGGGTCCGGTCATGGGGCCTGAACTCTGGACCTGGGAACTGTCCCTCAGCTCTTCAGCTCAAGGCTAGTGCTCTACCACTTAGCCACAGCGCCACTTCCAGCTTTTTTCTTTTTGCTTATGTGGTGCTGAGGAATCGAACCCAGGGCCTCATGCATACAAGGCAAGCGCTCTACCACTGAGCCACCTTCCCAGCCCCTGTTACTGTTATGTTCTAAAAGGCAGGGCCTGTGTGTAAATAACACACAGCATAATTCATAATGTCCTATTACCAATGTATCAGCAAACTTGCTTCATTCCACTCCTCAATGCCCCCGTTACGGGAGAAATGGGCCTGTACTATCAAAGGTTAATCCCTTTACCTGTACCTAAGATCTACTTTAGGCTTTGCTGCTTCAGATAATTCCTTCTATCAGAACATTGCCATTCATATAAAACATTCTATTACTTCCATTAACATCATAACAAAACTCTCCTGGACCCCACAAAGGCCTTCCAATAACTTCTCTCATTACTCAGGCACTCATCTTGGTATAGGCCAGTAATATTCTCCATGCTGAGCTATGCTTGAAGGTTTTGCTACCCTGAACAGTCAATCTCTTGGCATCAGTCCTCTCAGAGAAAAGTTAGCATGGAGAAACATGAAGGAGGAAGAACATCAGAGAGTGCTTAGGAGCAAGAAAAGCTTTTAGATTTTATGGTCTTCAGAATCCAGCTTCCCTGGGGGTTTAGTCAACCTGACAACCTATGTTTTATACTAGTGCTTCTGCCAAGCAGACACACTAAGATTCACTAACATGACTTGGTTTTTCTCTGATAAACTGTAGCAGCAGGCAGACATGAATGGCAGTGGAAATACATGCCACTTTACTTCTGGCTGGTACCTATATAGAATGTGACAAAAAAGGCTCACCTTTTTCCCAGTGAGGACAGCCACACCACCATTCTCAACGTGAGGCAGGTCCTGAGCAGAGACATAGAAAGAAGGTGGCTGGAAATATATGCTGTATGGGGAAGAGTGAAAACTGTTATAAGCATCTTTCTCCTCAAATCTTTAGTAAAATTAGAGCCATCATGAAAAAATTTAGGATCATTTCCTAGAGTAAGTCTCTGGCCACTAAATCATGGTGGTAACTTGCTTAAATACAGATATTTGTAATCAGTGCTTCTTAACTACATATACATTTGCCTCAGAGGACATCTGGCAATATCTAGACACATTTTTGGTTGTTAGCAACTTGAAAAGGGATATTACTGGTATTGAGTGACTATTAGCTATGGATGCTACTTAATATTAATACTATGGTGCATAGGACACCCCATCCCAAACAGAGAATTATCTTGCCTAAAATGTTAATCAGTAGTGCAGGGGCTTCCCTAGTAGTGGCATGTGTCTGTAATCCTAGGTACACAGGTAGCTGAGGCACAAAGATTGCTTAGTCCAAGAGAAAAAAAGCCAACCTAGACAAGACACCATCTCAAAAAAAAAAAAAAGAAAAACCCACCTAGCATCAGTGGCTCACGACTATAATCCTAGCTACTGAAGGAGGATTAGACCAGACATGGCAGGAAATTCTGTGAGACTCATATCTCCATTTCACTACCAAAAAAGCCAGAAGTGGAGCTACAGCTGAAGTAGTAGAGCACTAACCTTGAGCAAAAAAGCTCAGGAACAGTGCCCAGGCTCTGAGATTAAGCCTAGGATCAGTATACACACAAAAAAATCCCATCTAATTAATTATCACATATTAACTAAGGATGGCTAACCTAACTGCAAGTATACATCCTTATGCATGTTCCATAGAACATGATAATGGAGTGGGAGAGGTGAGCACGGAAGTTCAGCATTAAAGGGATAACTAATGAGAAAAAATCTGGAACACAAAATGATACTGAAATCAAAAATGTAAGGAGTGCTTTAGAAGGAAAGGGCTTCTGGGCCTGTAATTCCAAGTCTCATGTGAAAACATTCTGACAAAGACTCTTCTTTAGTCTTCACACTCCACTCTCACAATCTAAATGAAAATACCACTGGATATTTCTTTTTTCTTTTTGTGATGGACCTGGGGCTTGAACTCAGGACCTAGGTAGTATCCCTGAGCTTTTGTGCTCAAAGCTAGTGCTCTACCACTTGCACCACAGCTCTACTTCTAGCTTTTTGGTGCTTATTTGGAGATAAGAATCTCACACTTTCCTGCCTACATTGGCTTCAAACTGTGATCCTCAAATCTCAATCTCCTGAGCAGCTAGGATTACAGGCATGAGCCACTGTGACCAGCTCAGTTTCTTTTGCTTTTATGAGAAATTTCAGGCTAGTATAAAAAAGTGATAACCCAGGCCAAACTGATCTTCACCAGAGAAGTCTAACCTGAAGGTTTTGGACATAAGAGCAGTAGTATTTTAGAGGCCAACTTTTTTACACCATCAATTGCTTGGCAGATCTGGGAACAGAAACTGGAATATCCTTTGTAGCCAATTGCATCTAATGAGGCCACACCAAGTGGATTCCCATGTATAGCCACAACATCCTCGTGTATTCCCTGTGCTCAATTCAAGCTGCTGGTCAGGCCTATTTTTTTTCTTTGGTTGGCCAGGCCTATTTTAACATAAACAAACAAACCTTCTTTCTTTTCCATTCCATTGTCTGAATCGCAGTGTTTTTGTGACATTTGGATCATCTGAAAACCACAGCTCTTTTGAAAGAGGAGGTCGCATGTATGGCAATTCAGGATCTTCAGATACAATTAATACCTTTAGAAACAAAATAATGATACTTAACAGAGTTAAGTCATTTAAGAACACATGGCAAAGGTCAAAATGTTCAACAATGAATGAGTGCTTGCATGTTATATCCCATGTGCCAAGTAAAATAACATGCATCTTACCCTGGCTCCAGGATCCCGAGCCCGGATGGATCTGGCTGCAGCAAAAGCAGCAGTGCCTCCACCAATTATCAAGAAAGGAACATGACTTGGTGGCCTTACTTGAGAAACTGGTTCTCCTTCAGCTGTAAGAACAGATCAGATAGATGAATCTTCCTGAAAGATGTGATCATTCCTTCCACTATTAAAAAGTTACCATGCATTATAAGATTATCTCTTTGTTGCTTTGTATGTCCCTCCCCCCCAGTATAACCCCTACTTTCACTATATTTGATGTCAGTATAACTTGTGGAGGAGATGGGGAAAAACCAGTTGTTTAAGGATACAGGTGGACCTGTTGCAACAATGAGAAGTACAAGTTGTCATGTCCAAAACGAGCTTTACAACATCGGTGCAGGGGAGGGAGGGGGGAGGCTGGGAAGGGAGCTGAAGGGTAAACAAAGGAGGAGGCTGCAATGCTCGGTAAGAAATGTACGCATTATCCTGCCCATGTAATTGTAACCCCTCTGTACAGTATGTTCACAAATAAAATAAAATTAAATTTAAAAAAAAAAGAAAAAGTTACCATGCACTCTCAACACTTATATAAAGCTAGCATAGTACTTCCAGTAATCTTAACACTTACAGGGCTGAGAGTATAACAGTGCTACAGGGTTTGTCTAGCATGTATAAGACCCTGGGTTTCATTTTTAGCACTGTAACAAACAAACCCAAATAAAAACCCAGGGAAATTCCAACAAAGAAATAAAATTTGGGGGCTGGGAATGTGGCTCAGTGGTAGAATGCCTGCCTAGCATGCATGAAGCTCTGGGTTCGATTCTTCAGTATCACATAAACAGAAAAAGCTGGAAGTGGTGCTGTGGCTCAAGTGGTACAGCACTAGCCTTGAGCACAGAGGCTCAGCGACAGAGCCCAGGCCCCGAGTTCAAGCCCCAGGACTGGCAAAAAAAAAAAAAATAATAAAACTTTGACAGAATCCTGATGGAAGAGGAAAAGCAAGCACTCCTTTTACTTTACAAGTGAAAATTTTCCCCCAGAAGAGGAGGAATGTTTTGGCTATATCATTCATTCATTAGGTCTTACTAGAACTAGCACCTAGCTTCTAAAACATATTAGAAAGTATGTATTAGAAGGCCTCTGCCCTTTCCATTAATTTGTCATTGACCACCAGGAAAATTGCAAGCTCAGTTTCACCTTTTGTTAGCAATGAAAGGATACCCAAAAAGCCACAAACTACCCACCCAGAGTTGTGGAGCTTGTTAAAGGATTAAAACATTCCTCTCTGAAAAACCAAGCAAATTCTGTGGGATGGAAGTGATGGCTAGACCTATATATAGCCTCAGGAAAACAAATATAACTTCCACAACTCAAAAGTCCAAAGACCTAAAAAGGGGAACAAAACACATCACAAGATTTCAGGCAACACTCACTAGATGATTTGGCTCTTCTTTGTTTTTCTTCTGGTGTCAGCCCAAACCCTGATATTCTTTCATTGTATCTTTTTTGGTTATCTTTTATAGTCTTGTAGGCCTGTAAATTTAAACACAGAATTTTATTTCATTATACATTTAATGCATACCATAAGTATATTATCTTTCAATTAAATGAGAAGCTTTTGTCTACTAAGAGGTTAGTTCTTGTTTTGTTTTCGTCGTGGGGCTTGAACTCTGGGCTTGGGAGCTGTCCCTGCGCTCTTCAGCTCAAGGCTAGTGCTCTACCACTTGAGCCACAGTGCCACTTCCGGTTTTCTAGTGGTTTATTGGAGATAAGAGTCTCAGGGACTTTCGTGCCCTGGCTTGCTTTGAACCATGATCCTCAGAATTCAGCCTTCAGAGTAGCTACAAGCATGAGCCACTGGCGCCTGGCTTGAGGTTAGTTCTTGTAAGTCAGTAAGTTAAATTCTCTTAGTACTGGGGGTTGAATCCTGGGACTCAATACATGCTAGGAAAGTGTCATACCACTGAACAATATCCCAACCCCAAAGTTTTTCCCTAAGAAATAAAAAATACTGGGCATACATACTCTGTGTGGGAAGAATATTTGAAAGCAGATAATAATATATCAGTTCCAGACACCCTGAAGATTTCTATAAAGATCTTTCTTCATGGGCTGGGAACGTGGCTCAGTGGTAGAGCGCTTGCCTTGCACGCTCGAGGCCCTGGGTTCGATTCCTCAGCACCACATAAGCAAAAAGAAAAAAAGCCGGAAGTGGTGCTGTGGCTCAAGTGGTAGAGCGCTAGCCTTGAGCTGAAGAGCTGAGGGACAGCGCCCAGGCCCAGAGTTCAGGCCCTACGACCAGACCCAAAAAAAAAAAAAAAAAAAGATCTTTCTTCATATTTAATTCCAATTAAATAGGTAAAGAAAAAAACTATAGTAATAATGCTGGAAAAGGTAAACTGAACTGACTTGTGAAATGACTGTGAAAATACATTTCTACATTATAATCAGCCTTAGGGGGAAAAAACTAAGGGGAAGAGAGGAATTAAGAGTTTTAAAACACTAAGTAGTTTTGTTTCAGTTTTATGTGTTTGTGAGTATGTGTTTGCAAGATAAAATGTGGATCATGTAAAAATTTTTAAATGTCAATGATTATAGCAGGAGTTGGGGGTTGAGTGAACAAAGAAGGTGAATGAGGATGAATATGATAGTTTATATGCATATATAAAAATAAAACACTGAAACCTGTGAAAGTTAATTTTACGGGGAGTAGGATCAAGGAGAGTAAGAGAAGGGGGTGAGTCTGATCAGAATATTTTATACATTTGTGTGTGGAAATGGTACAATGAAACCTGTCTCATACAACTCACATATGCTATCATCCTGGGCGCTATCCCTGAGCTTTTCTGCTCAAGACTAGCACTCTACCACTTGAGCCATGCCTCTACTTCCTGCTTTTTGGTGATTAATTGTAGGTAAGAGTCTCATGGAATTTCCTGCCAGGGCTGGCTTCAAATCACAATCCTCAGATATCAGCCTCCTGAGTAGCTAGGATTATAGGCAAGAGCCACCAGCACCTGGCAAAAGGAACATTCCTCAAATGAGAGAAAAAGGTCACAAAAGAATCCTCTTGGGGTGGGGTGGGTGGGAGATGGGAAGGGATGGGAAGGGGAAACAAAGGAGGAGGCAACAATGCTTGATAAGAAAATGTACTCATTACCTTGCCCATGTAATTGTAACCCAAGCTCTCTCCCAATAACCCTTCACCCCAATGTGAGTCTACAAGCCATGAAGAGAGCCTTTACAAGAATCTGAGCCCTGTCTGATCTTGATCCTGGACTTTCTACCCTTCAGAGCTATGAGAAAATATACTAGTGTTTAAGCTATGTGGTTTGTGGTATTTTTGTTATGGAACACTAAATAATTGCAGTCAACTCACAACATCTAGACAGATTTTAAGTTAATGTTTCTCTTGAGACTAATACCAATTTCAGAAAAAAGGCTACCTCATATCATGTTTTCAATCATTTAAAACCTGAAATAAAAGTGTACAAGGTAGTTTGCTAGCAGCTATAGGTAGACAAAAGCTTATCATTTAACCCAGAGATACTAAAATAACAGATTTATTACCACCAGTGTTGGATAAACACAGAGTGCAATCAGACATTTAACTCAATGACTTGAGAGGAACTTGTGCTTAGATATTTCCAAGACAGGATAAAGCAACGTGGCTGGCTCTGTCTTGTGGCTTGGCATCAAAAGAATTTGCATTGTCAACTCTGTGGAGGCCATCCAACACTGGTATAGCAACACAAACCAGAGGTTTAATATGTTTAAATGACTACATATTTAGTGCACTCTTTGAATCTATTTTTGAATGAATTATGGCAAAAGTAGAAATATGAAATGGAAAAGTTAATGCTTGGAGAGTAGTGTCTTAATCATGAATGTTATTTAAGAAAGCAATCTACATGAATGTGTTAGCTTATACCATTTCAGCCACTACTTTGGCCAAATTGGAGATTATAAAAGGGACACGGCCAAATGAATTTAGTTTGAAGTAGAGCTCTGGGAAGATTAGAACAATACTACAATTTCTATGGCTTTTTGGACCTCCTCTGAAGCATTCAATAAAATGCCCTTTTCACGGTAAAAGTCTAGTTGACTGTTTCCTAGAAAACACAAAAATTGCATTTTACCTGAAATGATCCAAAACCGATCATGCTCAAGTTAACTTTAGTTGCTTATTCAACATTTACTCAGACTTTCTTAAGATATGCAGCACTAAAGCACAATATAATTTAGCATCATAAAAATATGAAATTCACAAAAATTTCAAAGAAAAAAGGCTGGCAATGAGAATTTGGTTCTAAAATTTAGAATGATATGATAGGATTTCAATAACTTGAAGAATGAGATTTGGGGACTCTAATGATTGACAATGTTCTATTAATAAATGCCTAGAGAAATACATGCTGTTGGATATTTTACTATATTCTAATGGATCAAGTTTTCATTAGTGGCATGGCCTCACCCACCTTACCTTAAAATGTATTTTAGTGTAAACATCTTACATAATAAATTTCTGCTCCAGTAACTGTTGCTCCTACAATTAAGAAGTATACTAGGCTCCTGCCATCTTTCCCAGAATCATCTACAGACACTAGTGATCTAGAAGGGGATCCTAGGGGACTGCAGGTAAAGATAAGGCCAGGACAGAAATAAAAGGAAATAGAAAAAAGCACTGTTAATGAAGAAACATTCAGTACAAAAGCAGGGAAGCATTTCTGGTTACTCTTTTTTTTTTAAACAATTTTTTTTTGGTCGGTGGTGGGGCTTGAACTCTGGGCTTGGGTGCTGTCCCTGCGCTCTTCAGCTCAAGGCGAACCCTCTACCACTTGAGCCACAGCGCCACTTCCTCTGGTTACTCTTGTGCTTAAAAAAAAAAAAAAGAAGAAAAAAAGGCTGCTTCAGGAGAACATACCTTTCACCAGAGTATGTTATCAGGCAGCTCTCACTCATTTCTTACTCTGATTTGACTCTCACATAGCAAGAGCTGACTACTCTTTTTGTGCATCTGGGAGTCAGGTCAGGGGATGAGGATATGTTACTTCAAATAATTTTCATGTCCCCTCTCTTAATCTAGTGACAGGGAACAAACATCAGCTCTTTTCCTAATAGAGTACAAACTAACATTGTCATGGCTTCCAATCAAATAAACACTTTTCTTTATTTAAGGCTGTTAGTAGGTATTATCTAAGTTGGTTCACTCAATCTTACAGACTCCCAGTTTAGACTGATCTGCTTAGTCACAGTAAACCCTGCCAAGTTTAAAAAAAAAAAACACCCACATAGTAATTCCTCTATGACCTACTAGGGTTGATCAGAGTTCATTTAAGGAGATATAAATGTGCTAATACTACTGTGGAACAATTAAACACCAGATTTCTCACCTCACATAAACTCCTTTCTAAAATTGGAAATACTAGACTTGCTTCTATAATTTAGTCTTTGGGTGAGATTCAGGGATACTGTTTCTTTTAGGAATGCTTAATATTTTTTGATTGAAAGCTGATGCTTTTTAAAAATGTCAATCTCAAGCTGAGGAAAACTAATAAAATCCTTGACTAATGGGTCAAAATCAAATATTGTGCTAAGGAGCTGCAGTGAAATTTGGCCTTAGTTATTACAGTTTAGTAAGAGAACAAGTGAATTTTTGTGGATTAGTCTAAGCAAAGAAACAGAGTGGCTTCCAAGTTAAAAGTAAACAATGAAAAGAGTGGAGATCAATCAATAAGATATTAACTATTAGTCATTCCTCAATTATCTCCCATAGAACATTAAACAGCATGCATGTTAAAAAAAATACTTTCTGGAAATGTGAAAGGGGAATTACTGGGGGGCTAGGAAGGTGGCTTAGTGGTAGTGCTTGCCTAGCATGCATGAAGCCCTGGATTTGATTCCTCAATACCATATACACAGAAAAAGCTGGATATGGAGCTGTGGCTCAAGTGGTAAAGTGCTAGCCTTGAGCAAAGGAAGCTCAAGGACAGTGCCCAGGCCCTGAATTCAAGCCCCAGGACTGGTGGGGGAATTACTTGCAAAAGTACAGACAGCAGTACTGAGTTTATCAATGGGAGCTGTTTGGCAACCTCTCTATACAAACTGCTTTTCTACTTACATATGCACCCGCTCCTATTGCTGATAAGCCCACAATAAGGACTAACACAGAATTATCCATTTTTCCCCCTGAGGGACCAGAGCTAGCCATTTCTCTTGTCATCTGGAGTTCTAGTGGAAACCGCCATTGCTGGAACAAGTTGCCTAAAGAAACACAATTTATTAAGACACACACACACATATACAAAAAATAGTTAATACATGTTTATGATTAAATGTCAGTGCACTGAAAAAGTAGACTTACTGTGTATTGGGCTGCATAATGACCAAGAAATATATAATCAAATCTGTACACACAAATATTACACACATTTGAGAGCATATTCTTCAGTTGTTGTAGTTCTTTTGTTCTTTTTTCCTCCTTTCTCACTATGTAGCTCTGAGCCTTCTGAGTGCAAGGATAGTATATTTGTGCTACTACCATGCTAGTTTTAGTTAGGAGTTTTTCTTTGGTTTTGTCAGTAAGGGGGTTTGAATTCAGGGCCTCCCACTTGGAAGGCGGGTATTCTACTAATAGCAGAAGCCACATCCTCCAGTTCTGTGGTTAAGAGTTTTAAGAGAGCCAGCACCGGTTACTCATGCCTATTAACAACTCTAGTTACTAAGGAGGCTGAGATCTGAGGATCACAGTTCAAAGGTAGCCCGGGCAGAAGTCTGTGAGATTCCTATTTGCAATTAACCACCAGAAAATTGGAATTGGCACTGTGACTCAAAGTGGTACAGCATTAGCTTTAAGCACAAAAGCTCAAAGACAGTGTCCAGGCCCTGAGTTCAAGCCCCACAACCGACAAAAAAGAAAGTTTTAAGAGTACAATTTAATACTGCCTACTGAGGAAATTTAAAGCTTCCAAAAAAGTTCATGAAAAACACAGTAAATTCATCAAATACCTTTCCCTTGACATATGCACCATAATTGAATTAAACACAGAGGATGAATGATTAGGCAGATAAAGTTGTCCCTTGGTATCTACACAGAATCAGTTCAGGATTCCCAGAATATACCAAAATCCACTCATGAAATCCATTTATAGAAAACGCTGTGGTATTTGCATATAATCTGTATACATTCCTCCCATATATTTTAAATATTTTTAGATCACTTATTATGCCTATATAGTTTTAGGGAAAATAACAAGATGCATGTTCAGTAGAGACACAATTGTAAAAATTTACATTTTATCTGTGGTTGGGTGAGTGCACGGATACAGAGGGACTAACTGTACCCAAAGTTGACCACAGTGTACCTAGGATAGGGCAACCATCTCAGGAGTAATCTAAATGACTAAAACTTTGCTTAACTAAAACCCTGAAACACAATTTAATGAGGACACTGATCAGTCTTGTGGGAAAGGCAGTATGTTTTAGAAAAAAATAAATGATGATGTTAAATCGCAGAAGAAAATTAGGAATTTTTTTTCTTTTTTTTCCATTCATAAATTACTTTTATTTCTCATTAAATGAGCACAGAGGGAAATTTTTTTTTCTAAATGAATTTATCACACCAAGGAACTGACAAATGTAATACTATAACATATGTTCCAGAATGACATTTTTTTCTGTTGGTTGTGGGGCTTAAACTATGGGCCTGGGTGTTGTCCTGAGGCTCAAGGCGAGGCTCTACCACTTGTAACACAGTGCCACTTCCAGTTTCTGGTGGTTAACTGGAGATAAGAGTCTCATGGACTTTCCTGCTCAGGCTGGCTTTGAACTGTGATCCTCAGATCTCAGCCTCCTGAGTAGCTAGGATTATAGGTGTGAGCCACCGGTGACCAGCCAGAATGACAAAATTTTAAATGCCAATAACATAACTCATTCTCATCCAAAATAATGAGAGGTAATTTTGATGGTAACTACATAGAGCTATGTAATGACACATGGGCAGAGGCAAATGTGGAACTTGCTGTTCTGTCTGTTGCTGCCACCACTGAATTGTGCTGATGTTATAAAAGTAGCGACTGGCAACACACAAACGAGTGGACATGGCAGTGTTCCAATGCAATTTTATTTATGGACAGTAACATCTGAATTTTATAGTAATTTTTATGTCATGAAATAGCCTGTTTTTAAGGCTTATTAGCCATTTAAAACATTCAGCTTGTGGAGTCCATGAGAGCAGGAAATGACTGATGGGGCTTGGCCTATAGCCGTAGTTTCCAGACTCTGACCTAGAGCAGTGTTTTTCCAAGTTGGAAGCATGTCAGAATTCCTAGGAGGGTTTGTTAAAATGTATCTAGATAAGCAGTAACCCCAGGATTTCTGATTTGGTAGGTCTAGGAAGAGCCTCCATAATCTGCACTTTCTTTCTCTTTTTTGTACCATTCCTGGGGCTTAAACTCAGAGCTTGGGAACTCTCCCTGAGCTTTTTTGCTCAAGGCTAGCACTCTACTGTTTTAGCCACTTTTGGCTTTTTTGATAATTGGAGATCAGAGAGTCTCATGGACTTTCTTGCCTGGGTTGGCTTTGAACCATGATCCTCAGATCCAAGCCTTATAAGTAGCTAAGATTATAGGTATGAGACAATGGTGCCTGGCTGCTTTTTATTTTAAGAGGTATCACAGGCAGGATGCCAGTGGTTCACACCTGTAACCCAGGCTACTCAGAAAGCTAAGATCTGAAGATCATGATTCAAAGACAGCCAGGGCAGAAATGTCTATGGCAATCTTCTCTCCAATTAATCACCAAAAAAAGCCAAAAGTGGAGCTGTGGCTCAAGCAGTAGAGTGCTAGCCATGAGCAAAAAAGCTAGGGTCAATCAATGCCCAGGCATTGAGTTCAAGCCCTAGGACCAGTACACATACACAAAAACACAGAATGGGGCTTAGTAGTGGATGAAATACAGGGTTTGTTTTTCCTTTTGCTTTCCAGTCAGAGCACAAAGTAGTTATAAAGGAAAGCCTGATATAGGTAGTCTTCTACCTAAAATCTGAGATCATATATATTTCAGAACTCAGAAGAGGGCTGGGAAGGTGGCTCAGTGGTAGAGCGCTTGCCTTGCATGCATGAGGCCCTGGGTTCGATTCCTCAGCACCACATAAGCAAAAAGAAAAAAGCCGGAAGTAGCGCTGTGGCTCAAGTGGTAGAGTGCTAGCCTTGAGCTGAAGAGCTGAGGGACAGTGCCCAGGCCCAGAGTTCAGTCCCCACGACCGGACCCCCCCCCCAAAAAAAAAAGAACTCAGAAGAGTTTGTTCTTAGTCAGATGCTGGTGGCTCACGCCTGTAATTCTAGCTACTCAGGAGGCTAAGATCTGAAAATCATGCTTCAAAGCCCACCCAGGCAGAAAAATCCATGAGAATCTTAGGTACTAGCTCAAGTGGTAGAGCTCATCTTGAGCACAAAAACTCTGGGTCAGTGCCCAGGTCCTGAGTTCAAGCCCCAGGCCTGTCATAAAAAATACAGATGCCTACCTAGTATACTATCCTGAAGAATTTTATTCCTTCTCATTCTTATCCTAGGAGTCTATGCTGTCTCATCTGGTTTCTGTTCTCCATGCATTTCAGATGATCAGGCAACTTTTGGTAACATGATATAGAATGTTAACGTATATAGTAACTCCCTCAAAAAAGTTGAAAACTGAACTGTTAACTGGTTATCAAAGTTAATGTTAGAAAATCAAACTAATTACCTGGTTACAGAAAATACTGACTTGCCAAAGATTTTCTTTTGGAAATCCTTGTCTAAGTAGAAAGAGTATGGGAAGGCTTATCTTTAAGAATTCAAAAAAAGGGGGCTGGGAAGGTGACTCAGTGGTAGGGCACTTGCCTTGCATGCATGAGGCCCTGGATTCAATTCCTCAGCACCATATATGCAAAAAGAAAAAAAGCAGGAAGTGGTGCTGTGGCTCAAGTGGTAGAGCGCTAGCCTTGAGCTGAAGAGCTGAGGGACAGCGCCCAGGCCCAGAGTTCAGGCCCCACAACTGGACCCCCCCCCCAAAAAAAGAAAAAAAAATATTCAAACATTTGTTGCTCAAGTTAGGGAGTCAGTGATCAGTTCATCACATGGTAACATGTTTGGTGAACAAATAAATTCCAGAAGAGAAGACTTCTATTATAAATCCATCTGCTCCTCAGTGTTGAATGCACACAGAGTTTTGACTCAGTTATCTTTTATCATTTCTTGAAGGAGACACAGCATTTATATGAATAAAGTAGAATTAATATTAGTGTTATATTGTTTTAAGGCAAATAAAAACATATAGTGGAAATGAACCTAACCATTGTGATAGATGTGAATGAGATAATTTCAAGACAGGCTAAAAGCTGGCTAACCTGAGGAGAAAAATAAAAAGAAGACAAAAAAACAAAATTTGAGACAACCCAGCAAAGAACTGGGGGGAAGATACAGAGGAGGGGAAAGTGGTGTACAAATCCTGCCTCTGCAAAGACATATGGTAGCTGTTACTATGTGAAAAAGAAATCAGATGATAAACAATAGTAATCAAACCACAGAACAGAGTTAATTCCTACAAGGAGTATAAAATAATTTCTTTTTGAAACTCTAACCCTATCCTTTGCCAGGCCTGGGGCTTGAACTCAGGGGCTAGACACTGTCTCTAAGCTCCAGGCCAACACTCTACCACTTGAACCACAGCACCACTTCTGGCTTTTTCAGTTTATGTGGTACTAAGGGCTTCATGCATGCTAGGCAAGCACGCTACCACTAAGCCACATTCCCAGACCTCCTCACTCATTTTCATTTATTTTATTTTTTTTGTGGGGGGGGTCCAGTCGTGAGGCCTGAACTCTGGGCCTGGGTGCTGTCCCTCAGCTCTTCAGCTCAAGGCTAGCACTCTACCACTTGAGCCACAGCACCACTTCCAGCTTTTTTCTTATGTGGTGCTGAGGAATCGAACCCAGGGCCTCCAGCATGCAAGGCAAGTGCTCTACCACTGAGCCACCTTCCCAGGCCTCCTCACTCATTTTTAAAGACAGGTGACGCCATACTCTGGTGCATAGTAAGAGGAAAATGGATAAGCATGTACAAAGAGATGGATGGGTATGTCAGGAAGTCATAATATTTTCTATAGTAGACTGCCTTCAAACAAAACCATGCAATGGAAAAAAACCAATTGACTATTTTTCTGCAGTTCTATCACTGCCAACCACCTTCAAATGCCTACTACATCAATTTAACTTTGAAATGCGTATTTAATTAGTGTGAACTTCTGATTAATCATCAGAATGCTGGAAAAAGCTATGAGTCTTAAGCAAAATAAGTATACAACACTGTAAGGGCCAGTATGAATAAAAACCTTCATCTGAATTTGTGTAAATTTCTATGCAATTAACATACCATGTTAACATTTCAACAGCACAAAAGCAAGACAAAGAACGTTCCAGGGCAAGCACTAGTTTAAAGGCCAATGGAAAGACTTTTTGGGTGTGAGGAGGAGCTTTTTTATCTAAAGCAGAGGTTTTTAAGTTCCAAGAGTAACACGGCTTAGGACATAACTCAAATACACCTATCAGCAAACATTCTGACTCATAGCCACTGAAAAAAAAAACTGTCAAATGTACAGTTGCAAAACCCTAACAATCCAAAGGAAATATTTTCCAGTTTATTTTTAAAGCACCAAGAAGGTATTTCCGTATCAGAAAATCCTCAAGAATAATGCCTGATATTTTAAATATCCTAGGATGATCATTCAAATAATGATTTTAAAAATGCACCTGATTATACCCAGAAAGTTGCATAGATTGAAAACAAAAGCAGGCTCAATCCATGCTCAGATAAAATCATGGATATCTTATGTACAATGGGCTAATTATTAAGAAGGGAATCTAAATTCATAACTTTTTGAGGTTAAACTTTGGGAGCATGGTGGGACTCTAGCAAGAGGATTAGTGGCCTAGGCAGTAGTAAATTATCTTGAGCTTTAACCTATTAATTATGTGACCTTGGGCAAGTAATTTCACCTGTTCAATTTATTACCCATAAAATAATGGGTTTGAATTGTACCACAAAATCCCTTCCAGCTCTAAAGTTTGATATAACTGTCTCCAATGAATTCTGCAGTCTTTCTTCGAAGCGCTAAAAATATTTTTTAAAAAAGGAATTATGCTAAGTGTTTTAAATAAACTCTGAGCCAATCCTCCAGGTGTCTGGTGCACAACCTACTCAGTTACAGTAAACCATTTGTTTCATTGGACATTAAAATATATAGATCTCTTCTGGGGATTGGAAAGTAGAGCGGGTTAGTATTCTCATTTACAGAAGAAACTTAAGCATAGGGCTTAAATGTCCTCTGTAAAGTCTCACAATCAGCAAAGAACAAAGTTGACCTCACTGCTTTAAAGGGGAGAGGGTGGAGGTGGCAGGGGGTGGAGAATTGTCAATATAAAGTGACTAGTTGTTCTGTTATCCCTCAACAGCAAACTCTCCCAGAAAAAGGCCTCAAGCAGACTACTGGGTTCAAATCTCTTGAAGGTCAGGTCGGCCTGGCTGTGCCGATTTCTCTGCTTGCGTACTCGCGGTTTGGATCCCGCCAATTTGGAATTCACGCGACTATATGTGTTGCGGGGGGGGAGGGGGGAGACGAGGCGGGAGAAGCCTAAAGCACAAGGCCCACCTCGGCCGTTGAGGTGGGGGTTGCCCGCGTGGGGTCAATTAGTCACCTGGGAGACGGTTCCTCAACCTCGGGCTTCGGACGTACACCGTCCGCACCGAGGGCACCAGTTTCTGCTTGAAAGCACCTACTGCGAGGCCTCCACACCGGAACATTTCGGCAGCTGCGACTCCAGACTCCTTTTTCTTCACACGCACCGGCAAATGGTCAAACACCGACAGCACGCCTCCGCCTCCACCTCCGCCTCCGCGTCCGCGCCGGCGCCGGCGCCGGCTCCCGTTGCCCCCTCCCTGCACGCTCACACTACGCAAGCTCCTCCCCGCAGCGAGCGGACGTTGGACTTTGGAAGCCAGTCTGCGATCGCTGAGGCGAGGGGGTACGGGAGGAGGGCGGGGGAAGGGAACTGCGACCGGAGGCCTAGTGCGCAGGTGCAGTATCAGCAGTTCATTGCGATTGGTCGCACCATGAGAGGTTTTGCGCACGCGCTTAGCTGCCCGCCGGCTTTGCAAAGACCCCGGTTCAGGCTCTGGCGACTTAGCGTGTTTCGGCGAGTTGGTAGCAGTGTGATGGGCTCCAAGATTTGGGAAGCTGTCCAGGGAGGGTCTGGTGGAATTAACTAATCCGGCGGCTATAGCTGATGTTGCCGTTATGTCATGAGGGGAATTGATAGACTCTTACAATGCTGGCTTCAGCACTGCACTTTTGCTTTTCTGCTTTTAGGCCACTAGTTACCGGCGCTCAAGCCTTCCCGATTCTCTTGATAGGATCCACTTCCAGTCTTTGCTTGGGTCTGAGTCGGGGCACTTCTGATCCGGAAAGTGTTTCAGTCTTTCACGGTTTTCTACCCAGCGATTCTTTGGGACTAGTAACCAATCTGTCTGTTTTCCCCTTACCGCTTTTATATTGTAAGATTATGTTCTAGGTGTTGTATCAGGTACCATAGATAGACATGCTTTTATGGCTTCCGTGCTTATTGTGAATAGGATGCTGTGGGCAAAAAAAAAAAAAAAAAAATGCTTCATAGGCTTACTGTAAGAGAAATGCGGAGCAGGACTTTAACAGTTGGGGAGGACTTACATGATGAGAGAGTGGAAGAGGTATTTTGCTGTATGCATAACATACATACACATTTCAAAATTCTGAGTTACATATTTTTTCTTTTTATGTTTATTGTCCTAAATGTGATGCACATAGGGGTTACCGTTACATAAGTCAGGGAATGAGTATGGCATCCTTTCCTTCGAACTCTCCCAGTTTCCCCCCCCCCCACTAACCACAAGTTGTGTAGTTAATTTTCATCATAGTGTCTAGTAACTACCACTGCTGCATTTGTTCACCCCTTGCCCCTCCATTTCTGTACCTCTTTGTCCTCCCAAAGACAGATAAATGAATTAATAATCCAGAAAGGAAAGAAAACAAAAACAACAACAAAAAAACCTCGTTTCCATTTCTTGGAGTTCTTTTCTATAAATAATACTTTATGTGATCAGAGGCACACAGGCATTGCACCTCTATGTATCTCCACTAAGAGTATCGTCCTTTGGTCTCATTGTGTGTGAATGCCTAGAGAACTGTATAATTTATCTTGTTCTGGTGTATTCTAGGTCTAGAAAACATGTGTCATTTGTCTTTCTGAGTGTGGCTTACCCCACTTAAACATGATTTGTTCTAGCTCCATCCATTTCCCTGCAAATGACATAATATTATTCTTTCCAATTGCTGTGTGAAGTTCCACTGTGTATATAAATCACATTTGTTGATCCACTCACCTATTGTAGGGCATTTGGACTGTTTCCATAACTTGGTTATTGTGAATAGTGCAGCAATGAACATGGATGTACAAGTGTCTTAGTGGTATCCTGGCTTTTGATATTCTTTCTGGTAGATCCCCAGGAGTGGCATGGCTGGATCATAGGGAAAATCTATGTTTTTTATATTTATTTGTTTGTTGGTTTTTAAAGGAACTTCCAGACTGCTATCCAGTAATTGTACTAGTTTACGTTCCTGTCAACAATGCAATAGGGTTCCTTTCACCCACCCCACAGCCCTGCCAGCATTTGTTGTTGTTTGAATTCATGATGTTGGCCAATCTACCTGGGGTACGATGGACTCTCAGAGTTATTTTGATTTGCATTTTCTTTCTTTTCCAGTTGTGGGGCCTGAACTCTGGGCCTGGGCACTGTCCCTCAGCTCTTCAGCTCAAGGCTAGCGCTCTACCACTTGAGCCACAGTGCCACTTCCGGCTTTTTTCTTTTTGCTTATGTGGTGCTGAGGAATCGAACCCAGGGCCTCATGCATGCAAGGCAAGCGCTCTACCACTGAGCCACCTTCCCAGCCCCTAAAAGTCTGTGAGACTTTTTTTATTTTTGGGTGCATTTTCTTTACAGCCAAAGACGTTGACCATTTTCTCATTTGTGTTTCTCTGACATTCGTACTTCTGAGAAGTCTCTGCTTAGCTACTTTGCTGATTTTGTGATTGGTTTATTATTTGGGGGGGGGGTAATTTTTGAGCTCCTTGTATATTTGGATATTAGGCCTTTATCAGATGTATTACTGGTAAATATTTTCCCTCTCTGTTGGCTGTCTTTCTAGTTTAGTAACGTCATTTGCTGTGTAGAAACTTTTTATTTTGATGTAATCCCTTTTGCCAAGTTTCTTTCCTATCTGCTATGCCTCTGGGACTCTTTTCAAAAATTTCTGCCTATGCTATGAGTTCTAGTGTTTCTCCCACTCCTTCTTGGAGTAATTTCAATGTTTCAGGTGTGACATTGAGGTGTTTGATCCACTTTGAATTGATTTTAGCACATGGTGACAAACAGGGATCCACTTTTAGTTTTCTGCATATGAATGCCCAGTTTTTCCACACTGTATGTCTTTGGCTCCCTTATCAAATATCAGTTAACTACATATTTTTGCCAGCCTTGGGGCTTGAATTCAGGGCCTGGGCACTGTCCCTGGGCTTCTTTTGCTCAAGGCAAATGATCTACCACTTGAGCCATAGCACCACTTGCAATTTTTTCTGTTTATGTGATACTGAGGAATCGAACCCAGGGCTTCATGCAAGCTAGGTAAGCACTCTACCACTAAGCCATATTCCTGGCCTAACTTTACATATTAATTTTATTTTATAAGTCTTTACTGAGCACTTGCTGTTGGATTGTACCATGAAAGGGGCTTCGATGGGTATGAAAAGTATAGGAAATGCTCACGTCTACTTGGACTGATGATTTATATGATTTTGACAATACCTGACACTGAGCTAGAGAGAAGAACCTGGAATAGACTTGCTAAGGATGAACTTCATACAGAGTTATCTTGAAGGCTGAACAATAAAGTTCATGGTGCAGAAGGAGGAAGAGCATTTCTTGTGGTGATTGCATTGGGAGCAAAGGCAACATTTAAAGTGATTAAGTTAAGCTTGAGTCCAGATGGACCCAATGTGAATCCTAGCACTGCCACCCAGGCAAGTCACCTAATTGCCTCACTTTCCTCATCTACCAATTATGCAAGACTGTGAGGAAACTAAACTAACTAGTATTTATAACATGTCTTAAAAGAAGTACCATGTTGTTGGTCAAATTTATAGGCCTGAGGGCATCCGTATGAGGTTGCAGATGCCAGCACTAGGGAAGCAAAGGCAGGAGGAGAATCTTGAGTTGGAGTCTATCCTGAGCTACATAGTGAGACTGTCTCATAGAATACACACCAAAAATCTGGAGTTATTACAAAAAGAATTCAGCACATTTTCAGGGGACTGTGACAGAGTACATACTGTACTAGGGAGTAAAGATAAGGATAGGTAAGTATTTTAGGGCCAGATTTGAACTGGCAAAAGTATTTGGTCCTAATCTTTGTGGTTGATGAAGTTACTGTTTTTTCTTTCTTTCTTAATGTGTTGGGGGTTGAGAATGCACTTACAAAGGCATGTTTTGCGAAGTTTAGCCCTGGAAAACAGTATTTACTCAGTGAAAATTACTCAGGGTTCCCTTGGCCATTCAGCAGAACAGGTCAGTGTTCTGAAGTGCAGGTGATAGTTTACTTAGGTCTATTTCAGAGTAAATATATTGAAAACATCAATTCCAGAATAAAGTAAGAAATATATATTTAGCATTTTAAGGCCATTATAGAGATTGCTATTTATTGATATTTCTAAAACATCAACAAGAGAGGCTGAGGTAGGATGAAAATTGAAACCAGCAGTTTGGAGCCACCCAAACAACATAGTGAGACTGTAACAACAATAGTACCAAATAGTAAAATAGTAAAAACGAATAATAAACATGTATAGATTAAATAAAACGTTGATCATATCTGTTGATAAAAGGCCTCAGAATACTGAAAATCATGACAATCAGGTTCTTATGAAACATACATATATGTATATATTCAAAGTAATTTAACAACACTCAAGATGTTATAAAGCACATTTAATTTTTGAGAATAGTTACAATTTTCTTTAATTAAATATATATGTAAGTCAGGCACTGGTGGCTGATGCCTGTAATCCTAGCTACTCAGGAGGCTGAACTCTGAATATTGTGGTTTGAAGCCAGCCCAGGCAGGAAAGTCTGTGAGACTTTTATCTCCAATAACCTCTTTAGAAAATGCTGGAAGTGGTGCTGTGGCTAACGTGGTAGAGTGTTAGCCTTGAACACAAACAGGCTCAGAGACAGCACCCAGGTCCTGAGTGCAAGCCCCAGTTCAAGACTGGCAAAACAAAAAAAAACTATATATAATATACATTCCTTTTTTGTTTATTTATTTTTTGTCGGTTGTGGGCCTAAACTCTGGGCCTGGGCACTGTCCCTCAGCTCTTCAGCTCAAGGCTAGCCCTTTACCACTTGACCACAGTGCCACTTCTGGCTTTTTCTGCTTATGTGGTGCTGAGGAATAGAACCCAGGGCCTCATGCATGCATGCAAGGCAAGCACTCTACTGAGCTACCTTCCCCGCCCTTTTCTCTCTCTCTCTCTCTCTCTCTTTCTTCTTTCTTTCTTTCTTTAGTTCTGCCTTTCTTTTTTGTGCCAGTCCTGGGCTTGAACTCAGGACATGGGTGCAAGTCCCTGAGCTTTTGTGCTCAAGGCTAGCACTTGAGCCATAACTGCACTTCTGGCTTTTTGGTGGCTAATTGGAGATGAGCATCTTATGATCTTTCTTGTCCAGTCTGGCTTTGGACTGTGATCATTAGATCTCAGCCTCCTGAGTAGCTAGAGTTATAGGCGTGAGCCACCAATGCCCAGTGATATATACACATTTCTAGAAATCAAAATTCCT